CCTATTTTATCCTTGGTTTAAAAAAACTACTTTATATAGGGAAAATTACATCAACATAATAGAAAATAAAGAAACGTGTGAAAGATACTTGGGATGGTCCAGATAAAAATGAAAATGTCAGTTACATTAAACATTGAGAATAACTAAAACGTGCAGTACAGGTTCCTGAAAACAACAATTAAATGTACTGTCACAGCGTAACTTTGTATATTGGCTATGCCAGTTTATGATATTGCTTATCCTGACAGTAAGGCTGAGTAAGGCTGAGATTTCATTCTGCATTAATGCCAAAGTATACCTTCCTTCTCACACATATCCTCTCCCGGGGGAGTTTCTGAAAAATCTGTTTAAACTCTTATAGATAAATTGGTGGTTGTGTTTAAAAAGTGTTGTGTTGTAAAGATGGAATAGACATAAGTCCTACTGAGTCCTGTGTATTCTGTGCAATGTGGAGTACTCTTAACCTCGAGGGGACCATTTTCATTTTAAATTTCACTGCTCCATTAAATCTTATATTTTTATTATTTCACAATACGTTGTATTGAAATACAGAAAACCTAATAAAGACAGACATTTTAAAAATGTAGAGCAATGAATAGTGGTAGCAGTAATAATAATAATAGTGGTAGAGGCAATAATTCTGTGCAAGCCTATATCTCAGAGCTGTCCTAACTATTAATCTCTTGCAGGCTGCACAGGAAACTATGGAGCAGAAGCTGCAGGAAAAACAGTTGATCCTCAGTGCAACACAGGCAAGCCTGACGGCAGAGCTGCAAAATTTACAGAGCCTGGGAACACAGCGGGAGAGGGAGCTGTGAGTTTATTTTGTTTTGAATAATAACCTCCTAACCTTACTATGCTGTATACATTGTATTGTGATCTGAAAAAATAAGCCATCCCCGTACTGTGTCCTGTATCCTACAGACAATGTCCTCTATTTAATAACCTTCCAAATGAATCAATACTGTTGAATAAACTTCCCAAATTATGTGTCTACAGATGTCACCATTAATGTCTTTGGGAATTTCTGCAGATAAAACATTTGGAAGGTTTTTCTAACCGTATCAAATAATTTCGAAAGCTTAATAAATTGAGGCCTCTAAGTTGATTGCTATAGGTATTACATTACAGAGACTAATGGCAATGTAAACTACATGTTGGTAATACTTACGACCAAATGTAATGTTTTGTAGATTTGTAAGAACAACCCCCCCCCCCCATTTGACACTTTGCTCAATAATATCTGGAAAGTAGAGGGCTTTAGAGTTGGTTCAGTTTAATATGGAGTGTGGTCATGCTGTTGGTTGAGTCCTATGAGTTTCATATAGTATGTGTTTTATTTAAGCAGTGTGTATGAATTGAGATGCTATATATAGTAGTCTTTAATATTCTCAGCTTTACTAAAGTCTACATCTTTTTGCATGTATACATTAATCAATAAATGTATTATTATTTAATTATTGATGGTTAGCGCAGAACCTCACTGGAGACCTGATAAAATTAATATCCTGGGTTGGAAATGTAATATGTTAGATATGTGTATGAGTACTTTCGTGTTGGGAATCCTGGACGCACAATGTTTTTTAGTTAGAGAATGCTTAACATAGACTCCGTGTCAGACTAGTGAGCAGTAAAGGATATGTAAGGTTGACAGCTATACTAATGCTCCAGAAGTATATTTTAACTTGAAATTTTGATTACAGATAGACTAATGAATGAAATGGATAAGTTCAGGTCAATGAGATTCCTCGGTTTAGAGTGAGATTAGGCAGGTGAGCTAGATGATCAGTAAAGAGGACCATAGTGTACAGCAGAGAGAATACCAGGAGATAAGATGTGAAATGTCAGAAGGTGGCTGCAAAGCTTAGTAAGCTATTCTGATTTTAACTGTAAATTGAGAATAGTGGTCAAATTGTGTTTTTGCTGAGACAATAATTTGTACAGTAGAATTTAAAATCAAATAGAAATTTAAAATGATTAGCATTGGAATATTAGTTGATATAATTCTCCAATATGAGGTTTTCAGAAGTGATGATCCTTCCACCTGACTACAAATTAAACCTCTCTTGCACTGCATTTTCCTGTATGTTACTAACTCTCCCACAATAATTACTAATTAGAGAGGCCCTACGTGCGGAGCATACTGAGTGCCAGAGGAAGGCAATGCATGTAGAGCAGAAATTTGCCGTACAGAAGGAGGTGCAAGAGTCAACAATTACACGCCTTAGGGGTGACCTGGACTGTGCACTCAGAGATAGAGCTGCGTTGGAAAATGAGAAGTCTGAATTGCAAGAAGAGGTAGTGCTATCAGATATGTTAATATACATATGTGCATACATCATGGGTTTTCTCAGTTTAGTCTTACTGAGCACTCACATTTGATTGATCATTAAAGTGCTTCATTGTTTCCTATTAAACTCTGTGATTATAGCATATAATAGATCAAATTAGGTTAACCGTTGTATAGTAAGAGACCAACAAAATAGAACAGTACCAGGTGCAACTACACCCATAGACATTAACTGAAGTACCCTGTTTAAGGATAAGGTAAGTGGACAGTGAGAAACAAACAGAAGAAGGAATACTGCTCATGATCAAACAACTGGATAGCAAGGTAAAGGTCTTAGGAACTTGGGAAAAGGCATACTGAACATGGGATGAAGACCATGATTAGTGATCAAAAGCCTAAACTCAAGCATAAAGTAGATAGCAAACTAGATAATACCCAGAAACACAGCAGAGATATTTGTAAGGTCAATATTAGATAATATTGTTGGGAACCTCAGTAAGATGTTTATCTTGTGGGGTTATGAATACAACATCCATCTCAAGGCACTCAAATACAGTAAAGGATGACTATTTTTATTAGCATTTATATTGCCCAAGAATTTTCTGCAGCACTTTACAATTCAGAAAGAAGATATTTGAAGAAGGCCCTGCTCAAATAAGTTTACAATTTCTGAAAATTTGAGGTAGGCAGATATATATTGTTTGATGCCTTGCCAGGGATATTTAGTGGTGAGGTGGTTTAACCAGGATTCCACCTAGGTTCTAAGTGACATTACCACTGCTCAAACAAATACTCTGCACTCTCGACAAAGGCATGAAAGGGTTCAAATGCTCTCTTATCATGGTGACAAGTAAAATCCCAGTAACAAAATAAAACCAAATAGTGACCTAATGAAACCCTTCAAATTACATGGAGAATCACATTATTCTTTAGCACTAAAAGAGCTAACTGTTTGTATTTATTTTTATTTATTTTTTATATAAATACACTTGTTAATATGTTACATGTATTTTATTGAAAGTATGACATGTATTACTCTTATGATTGAAGGTCAGACTGTGTCACCTGACTGTCACATATGTTCCTCAATTTTACAGATGGTTAAAATTCAGGGTAATTTCCAAGAGATAAACCAAAACCTGGAAGTAGAGGTGGCTGAGAAAAAGGTAATATTTCTGTAACGAGTACCGTATAGTTACCCCTCTGAGCTCTATATCCACTTAAACATTTCTGCTATTATCTATTTAATAGTTCACTATGCTGCATAAAATGAATATAATTGATATACACCACTAATCTGAACACGGAACCTCTAACATTGGGGCTGTAGAAATAATAAACACACTTATCATAATATATCTGAATGAACCAATGTCAATTCGTTTGGTTATAAAAATCCTCCAAGAGCCTAGAGAGAAGGAATGCTCAAAGGATATGGGGACTGGATGATGTACTAAGGCATGGAGCAGAGATTGTATTTTATTCCCAAAAGCTATAGAGGTGTAATAATTGCTCCATTGCTTTTCAGGGTGTTTATCAAGATTCCAAGCTCATTCTTGGTTTTTTTTGTGTTCCACTCTGTCACTGATTCACATTCCTGATTGGTTTCCTTGGTTTGTGGTTTCTTCTTTGTTGGTAATTTAATACTTTAGCGCTGATATCTCTAACTCCTATATCCGATCTTCTATCTTACTATTTAGTTAGAATTGGCGTCAGTTCAGAGTGCTTTATTGGTTCAAGAACAGGAGAACAAGCGGCTCATGGAGTGTGTAGCATTACTGGAGCAGGAACAGGTATACATAATGTTCTAATGTCTTACATGCATATGTGTTGAGGCCCATGCTCTGTCACTTCCAATTTTACTTGTAGCTGCTTTCACATATGTCAGTTTCACACATCTTCTCACAACCACAACCCATTGTCCTGTACCTCCCTGTTGTATTTTTTGTGCTTTTTCTTTCCTAGCTTTAGATTGTAAGTTCATGGGCAGGGCCTTCTACCTTTTTTATGGGTGTGTTTATATTGCATTGTTTTCCCCATTGTACAGCGCTGCGGAATATGTTGGTGATTTATAAATGCCAGTAATAAATAAATAACTAGCGTGTTCTACGTACACTTTCAGAGAGCATTGAAGACAACCCTCTTAAATATCATCTATGTCAGGGCTTAACATTTTTATTCGACACCGTTGATTATGCTCTCCAAACTCTTCATCACTCAGTCTCTTTGACTCTGTCGTCTCGTGGCTCTCCTCTTATTTCTCCCAACGCTCATTCAGTGTCTCCTTTTCTAATGATACCTCCCCATTTCGTCCTGTCCTTGGTCCCCTTCTATATTCTCTTTATATTGCCTCTCTCGGCAAACTTATTACCTCATTTGGATTCCACTACCACCCATACGCGGATGACACTCAGATATATCTCTCCTCCCCAGAACTCAACCTGCCGTCCTGCAATGTGTCACTGCTTGCCTTTTTTCCATCTCTGACTGGATGTCCTCCCACTTTCTAAAACTCCATCTCTCCAAAGCTGAGCTCCTTGTCTTTCCTGCTCCTAATTCTGATCCTCCTCTTTCGCTCTCCCTTCAAGTTATTGGTATCCACTTAAGTCCATCCTTGCAAGCGCGCTGTCTTGGCATCATACTTGATTCTGGCCTCACATCCAGTATGTTGCCAAATCCTGTAGATTCCATCTTAAAAACATAGCCCACATCCACCCGTTTCTTATGCAAGATGCTACCGAGGAGCTTGTCCATTCTCTAGTAATTTCCCGCATGGATTATTGTACTATAGTCTGTAAGAATGCTGCCGCCAGACTGATTTTCCTCTCTAGTCGGTCCTCTCACACCTCACCCCTCTGTCAGTCCTTACATTGGCTTCCTGTATCCAATAGGAGTCAATTCAAAGTACTAACCCATACCTATAAAGCATTGAACAATTCTAGCCCCTCCTATATCTCTTCACAGATCCACAGGTATGCCCCTTCCACTGCTTGCACCTGTACACCCAACTAACGCTTGCAGGACTTGGAAAAATCTGCCTACCGCCATCAGACTCTCCCCTAGTCTTCAATCATTTAAGAAGTGCCCTAAAAACCTAAAACTTTAGGGAAGCTTGTGGCCTCCCATACCTGTCTTTTGCTGTCTCCTAAAGGGCAGCACTTTACTCTCTCCTCCAGCTCTGCTTCACTGCCACCTTATTTGATTGCTATTTTCTGTCCTAATGTGTTTTACACCCCACCTCCTATAGACTGTAAGCTCGTTTGAGCAGGGTTCTCTTCAAGCTATTGTTCCTGTAAGTTTTTTGTAGTTGTCCTATTTATAGTTAAATCCCCCCTCCCATAATATTGTAAAGTACTACGGAATCTGTTGGCGTTATATAAATGGCAATAATAATAATAATAGCTAGGACTGTTAATCTTTAGAAATTACTTTAAAACTTAACAGTGGATGGTGCCAGGGATCTCTAGGCATCATACATTTTTTTATTTTTTTATTTTGTTTTTTAAATTCTTTATTTATGCAGTGCAGATTTAAACTTACAAGCTTGCATAGACATTTTACAAGAGCATAGCCGACAGTAAGAAGGTAGAGATGTAACAATAAATGTATATGGTACTGCGCTTTTTTTTTTTTCTTCTTCAAATATAGAGTAAATAAGAAGGCAAGTAAAAAGGAAAACAAGAACAATACATGGGAAGCACAGCTCTAAAAAGAGTGCAACATGCTATAGAGTAGAACTGTAGTTACAAGAGGAGAAAACAACTGTGTGATCAGTATCAATTAGGGCATAAGAGCAGAGAGTCCAGACCCCAGCATATTTTGTACTTGAAAAAGTTATCTGAAAACATGAGATCAAACTCTAGCAATCATATAATAAAATCTATTTTGCTGTATATGAGAAGCATAGCCTGCTCAGCCAATGCCCTTAGAGGGAGGGATGTCTTTGTAGTACTTGAGTCCATGCAAGATAAACAGGTTGCCCCACTGGACTTTGGCTACCCCATTGGTCGCTCTCTCCACTCGCATCTCCTGCTCCGCAACACCATGTGGGGGATATCTGAATGAGGTCTCTTTTTGCTGCACCGTGGAGGTGTCAATAGTGTCAATAGTGTCCCTTCTAATAATTTTCTCTACTTGGGCCCGTCTTTTGCACAAATTGCTGACAACTCCATTCCTTCACATTCCCTTTTGATGCACTTGCTCTTAGTACACATTGTCATGCTTGGTCACAGAATGTACGTTGGAATAAAAAATAAAAAAGTCTCAGAACCAGTTTCTTGCTCATTCTCTATTGACTCATCTTTTATGATAGTTTAGATTTTTCATTATTCTTTATATTTAGGGCACTGATGGTTGAGGTTGGCATCCTAGATGCTTGTCAAATAAGTGCTAACTTAGCATATAGGGAAATTCCCAAATGTATGAGATGCCACTCTAAACCCTTTGCTTCCTTGGAAAGGTTTTTAAATATTTGGTTGTCTGTATTCTTCTGGTTACTCAGCATTCTCGTAGACAAGTGGAAATGTTACTGAATGAGCTGATGGAGAGCAAGAATAAACTGGCGTATGAAAAGGGAAAACTACAGGTGAGATCTTTAACAAATCAATGTTATTTAAGGATCGTCTGATTTTACCATAAACTACAGCTAGGGTACTCTATAGCATGGATGGCTATCCTTAACATTTGTATTTTTGAACACATGTAGAACTAGCTTTTTGGATGTCCAGGTTCTCTAGGCATGTTAATACATTTCAGGGTTTTCATTACAGTTAGAGTACTAAAGAGATCCCGTAATTTGCCATGGTTTAGTCGAAACTCTAGATGAGCTTACAGGACTTGTGATGTTTTTAGCTGGTATTTAGATTACTTAGCATTCTATTTTGTTTGAACATATTTTGCTTGTTTCATCAGAGCACTGTAGAACAGCTAAAGGCAGAGTTACAGTCTCTTGGTGATGCTAATAATGAAAACTCCCAGCTTCGCAAACTCAATACTGCCCTGGAGACAAAATACACGCAGGTGAGCAATATGCATGATTACCAGAACCTTTTGTTAGAATTTATTATTGTGGTAATAACTGATGGGATGCTTCTTATCCAGGCAAACGCAGAACTTGGATCTTGCCGGATTCGCCTACAGAGAGCAGAAGCTAGACTTCAGCAGGTATGGAGTACTGGAAAGTCAGTCTCTTTCATCATGGAGATCACCAAAGTCCTACTAATGCCATGTGATAGACCTGTGTAGTAGTCAAATAATGTATGTTTTTTTAAAAATGCTTGAGTTGTTTATACATGTTGTTAATGGATGCAGGCTCAGTCAGTGTTACTTCGTAAGGAGGAAGACTTCACACTTGCTATTAAGGCCAGGGATGAAACTCTGAAAGAAGAAACAAGATTGAGAGGGCAGTTGGAAGTTGCAGAGGAGAGAGAGGAGCAAAATGTGAGTATTCCTCCAGTCTATTTTTTACACCTTTCTTTCCATCCAATGCAGCTTATCTTGTATCATTGTATTTCATTTCACTTTTGGTAGCCCCGGTGTTTTCTTCTACCTGCTGTGTATTATATCCATTGGGATTGGTTTTGTTTTATCTATGCTGTGTTAAATAAATCTAACCCGTGCTTCCCTGGTTTTGCATACTATAATCTTTGCAATTACTTTTTTATTTATTTTTTTATTTAGTTTTGATCAAAATTCCAAGCATAACATATTGTGCACATATATAAAATGGCAAAAAAAATAGAGTTGTAGTAATGGCTAGATAATATGTGAGGCAACATTAATCTTCTAAAGGATTGCTGTCAAAACAGCATTACAGTAACATTAAATCTGCAGGAATAAAGCAAAAAAGTCAGTTTATGCGATAGGAGAAAAATCTTATTGAAAAACACTTCTCGTCCTGTATTAGTACATTTAACAAGTCAAGTAAAAGAAAAACTATGTGCTGGTACTGCTCAGGGCACAAACAAAAGTGGTTGGTATATTCCATTGTAACATAAGAGTAGGCAGCTGAGAATCCGTGGGTAATCCCACGTATTCCAGTATGTTGGAGCATCAGAAAACATGGTGATAGTAGTGAAGTGTCCATCTTTTTCAGCTTGGAAATGCTGAGAACCCCACCCGTATGATACCTCCTAGTCTCATAAGATCTTTGTAAATGGTTGAAATGCATGCCTCCATTGAACCCTGTGCTAGGATAAGTCTCAGAAAATGAGCTGTGACTCTTCAAAAACAATGGAAGGCAATTTGTTCAGGGATTTCTACATAATTATTTGTAGCCTTGCTGCAGCTCCCGAATAGCTTAATCAGTGGCAGTCTGTGGACATGGACCCTCAGGTCCTCCTCCTCTACAACTATGCACCCTGTCAGTGCTGCCACCTGGTACTGGATGATCGCCATCTTGTGGATGTCATTAAATAGAGCTCTAATGTCAGCCTCAGTTAATGGAGCACTGTCATCAGACATTGAGTTGTAAAGGTAAAATGTCAATGGCCAAATGAGCATCTTCCATATCCTCCTCCAAGCTGGAGTCATCCATGTAGGACAGAGTCGGGATTTGGCACATGCCATTTTATGAAATGGAGACCCCTGCATCTGCCTTATCAGCTTCACATTATCTTGAGAACACAGATCCAGATCAGTCCTATGTTTTTTTTTGTTTTGTTTTTAGAGTGCAGACCCATGACTCACTGAAGATGTGAGTACACCTTAGGTAAAAGATCAACAGGATTTGTAGGAATCTTAGCGTTTTGTGGACATGCGTTTAGTTTGGATATGCACTCCTTTGCAATTTTAGTGTCTCTTTATGGTTTGGTCATTAATTCAAACTATTATTGTAGACTACATTCATCTTCCTATTTGTTTTCCTTCCATCTAATGCCCACAGTTTTCTCCTGTCACCCTATTATAATGCACATATAATCTGTAAAATGTATAGATGTCGGCCATGCAACAGCAGTTATCCGAAGTCCGAGAAGAGAGGAACAGGATGTCCAGTATGTTGGAGAATGTGGTGACCTCACATACACAGCTCCAGCAAGATCTAGAAAAGCTGCAGACAGAACTTGGACATAGGGACTCCAACATTGCTGCATTACTCAAAGAGAGGTAAGATGCAGTCATAAACTAAACTTGGACTAGGCAGCACTTCAATCAAAACATCAGTATGTGATAATTGGGTTCCTTGCTCCCAGTGTATCCTTTCACATCTCTGTCCGATGTCACGGGTCCCAGCTCTTGTTCCAGTCAAATGCTTTATAGAGAAGCATTTGATTGGATCATTTCACCATCTCAGAGTGCATGCATGTGCTCTGAGCCGGGTAGAGAAGGGAGGAACTGGGTATGGAATAAAGGGAAGGTGACTGCCTCCCCTCCCTAACCCCTCCAAAAAAAAACATCAAGGCAGGAGGGTGGCCTGCAAGTGATAAGCTCGTTATTTGGCAATAGTGTAGGATACCTACAGAGTTTTATTTCTTTAGGCAAGGATACAACAGGAGTATTTTGGAGAGTGGAGCTAGTAAACGTAATTATAATATTAAGTCTAGCGGATCGATGGGTAACATCAACATCACTGTTTTACAATATTAAGAGCTCATGTCTAATTCAACTTGCCAATTCCTTCATATTTGTTCTGTTCTTAACAGGGATCACTGCCAAAAGCAAATAAAGACACTAGAGGGTGAGCTGTCGGAGTACCAGGCAAAGCTACAGTCCATCGAATCCCAGAAACATGCACAGGTGCATATAGTGTAATTTGTATGATGCAGATGCATACATTGCTAGATAGTTGGAGTATGGTTATAACTTTGCATGCCATAGATAGATAAATAGGTCTGCTGAGACATTTGATTCCTTTTAAACCGGGTTATAACTGCAAATCACTTGTCAGTTCTCCACAGGATGGTGGGGGAGGGGGGGGAAAGGAGACAGCTATACTTATTTGCTATACTCTCTGGAGGAGAGCGCTAACCACTGGGAGCTGGATCCAGGGCTTGGGTCCAGGGTGGGAAGAGGCGGCGAGACCCCAGCCAAGGTGAAGTTCTTATGGTGTCCTGGCTAAGTGTTTATGGTACTCAGTGATAACTAGGAAGCGTGTTTGAAGGAGGTATCCAGTCGAGGTGCCAGGCGGTCTGCCACTGGTTGGTTTTACATACACTAGGAAATTGTTATTTAAAATGTTTGGAGGAATTATGTAGTTTTGTTGCTAGCATTGTTTTAGGAGGAATTAAGTGTTTGTACTGTTGTAGGAAATTGGGGTGGGGGGAGAAGATTGTAGGAATGGAGAGTGTTTGTGCTGTTTTCTTGTCTGTAATTGTCCTTGTCTGAGTTCACTTCCCAACCTGCCTTTGTTCCTGAGAAGATTGCACCACTGCACAGAGCTATGGAGGTGGCACATGAGGATAATAAGACACTCGCACATGCTTTGGAGCAGGCTCTACAGAAGAGCTCCAGCCTTCAGATCCGCTTGAATGAGCTGGAGAAGGATTTGAAAAGAAAGGAGTTTCAGGAGCAGCAGATGGAAATTCTTAGGTACTAGGTTTATAAAGTTATCTGTAAATTTACCCAAATGTGTGTGTTACCGTACACGCAGCTCAAACACTAAATAAGTGTCATGCAAATCTAGTGTTTATCTATATACAAGATATATACATAAAACTACTACTAATAAATGTGCACACACTAATGTATGGTGTATATTATAATTACTTAGAATATCATCTAAAACTCCTGGATCTGTGTTAAAAATAAACTTCTAAGGCTAGTAAGTCCTGAGTGGTACTCTATCAATCTGTGTTTGTGAGTGTTCATTCAAATATTTATTTATTTCATTTTTTCTCTCTCTCTTATTTACAATATTGCACTTGGTTTGTTTATGCTTTTATGTTTTGTTTTTTTTTGCACAAATCCAGGATATATAAGCAAGTCTAATATTCACCATACATAAGTGTGTGCACATTTAATATTAATTATTTATTTTTGTTTATAGAGTAACGCTGGATTTTCATGTCACTTATTCATTGTATGAGCTGGGTGTACTGTAATACAGAAATCGTGTGTTTTTTGCGCACCATTTTTCAGGTTTTTTTGGATTTGGTTTGCCATGAATTTTTAGATGGTTTCAGCACTATAAGCACTGTGTAAAATTGTTTTATAATTATACGTTTTTTTCTTCTATTTTGTTTTTACACTTTATATTTGCACTTTTTGTTTAAGAAACACTTTACGATCTTGCACAGTGCCACTTTATTAGGTTTTTACTATTTTATCTGTAAATTTGCATCATATGTCTTTATTGAAAGAGGGCCCTTTAAGTCTTAACTTGCAAATGGCTGATTTCTGCAGGGCACAAGCTGAGGAAGATATCCATATTCAACAACAGCAGTATGAGGAGCGTATCACAACACTGAAGAAACAGCACTTGGAGGAATGCAAAGAGACTAAGAGGGCAGCACGGCGAGACATGGCGGAGGTAATGGGGAAAGAGGTACTTTATAGGTCTAACAGAGCAATATGGCACAAATTGAGTTAACGGAAAATATGTCTTGAAACTTGATGTGTATTTTTTGATAGTAAGAGAAAATAAGAAACAATCTAAACACCAAGACAATTGTTGCTTAATGAAGAGGTTTTGGTGTATAGGTCTCACTGTTCAATTATTTGCCATATAGGAGTTAAAGGGTTACACCAACCCTTTTTAGCTATTACTATTTATTTAATGTAGGATGCTCTATTGGGCACTATTCACTAGGTCCCCCTAGTGACTTTGAAGCTTGCTCTTGCAGGCATGCACCCAAGGCTACCTGCAAGACTTTAAGCTGCCCAGGTTTGTTTCCAGTGAGCTGTGCTCGCTGATGGCAGTCATAATTTTGCACAGATTTAACATTGTGCAGTGCAAAGTTCAAGGCTTCTTAAGTCATGTGTAACTAGCTCCCAGCACAAACCTGCAAATATCTCTGTAGGTGCAGCCTTTCAAGCTGAAACACTGCATATACAGATTCTACTACCATGACCATTTAAAAAGGCAGAAGTGCTCATGAGCAATCCACGGACTCTGAGCTATGCACAGTGGGGTATAGGAGAGGAGAGGCGGTCTGCCCTAGTGTGGATAGTGGGTTTGGTATGGGATGTGAATGTTATGTCTGTAACGGATATGATTATTACCTCTGAAAATCAGCATGCTATGTCAATGCTAACAGTTAAATAAAGAATTTTAATAAATAAATAAATAAATAAAAAGGCAGAAGTGGTCATGGTGGTTGGATTAATCGTTTAGATCATTATTAGCATTTATAAAGGGCCAACGTATTCTGCATCGCTTTACAATTATAAAATGGGAATATTTAGCAACAAGTAATTTACATACAGAATATACCACTACAAGAGGTAAAGAAGGCCCTGTTCAAACAAGATTACCATCTATGAAGAATGGGTAAAGACACAGAAGAAAAATAACAGCATGTCAGAGGCGGTAGGGGTTAATGGATAAGTGAGCTGGGCTATGATGGCAAGGGAAGTGATGAGGGCAGTAATATGAGAGATACATCACTCAGGAAGATGGTAAGCTTTCCTGAAGAGGTCTGTTATCAGTGACTTCTTAAGGACTGGAGGCTAGGGGAGAGTGTGATGGCATAGGGTAACAAATTCAAAAGAAATGGGGCAGCTGTTTATATATTTTTTGTATTTGACCCGTAGAGTGTCCCTTTAAGTTAAAATCTACCTTTAATCCAGTGCTGGGCGAAGTTCCTGAAAATTGTTTCCACGTCCCGTCCGTTTTTATGCCATGTTTTATGCCATGTTCTCATAGAGAAGCATTTAATTGAACCATTCTCACAGACTGAGAGCACATGCACATGCTCTGAGACCAGCAAGGGACATTCCAAACGTGGGATGGAAAGGGTTGTGGGGTCAGATAGATGGATAAAAAAAAACAATGCTCTCCATTTCAATTTGTTGTTACCTACCAGCATAACAAACAAACCCAAACCCTTGAAAATCAAAAAATTTAAGTGGGTTGGAGATAGACCTATGAAGGTCACAATGATAAAGAAGGGGTTAGGGGTAATGGTTTAAAGTATGCCACATTTGGTAGCTGTGAGGGGGGGGGCATAAAAATTGATTATTGCCTACGACACAAAGGCCTTGTATTATTCACCCAGCATGTAACAAAGTATTCATCTGCCAGTGCTTGAAAGCATTTATTTATTTATTTATTTTATTCCCCAAAGTTAAAGAAAGTTTTAGATTGTGCTACCGCTAAGTCAGCTGAACTGTCCCGCACAAATAGAGAGCTCCGGAACAGTAAGTCAGAACATGAGAAAACGGTGCTGGATCAAAAGAATCTGATACACAGTCTGAGAACCCAGCTAAAAACTCGGCTAGAAAGTAAAGCAGCCCACAGGGAAACTGACAGGGTTCAAGTGAGTATCCAATGCAAATGTAAAGGAGTAATTTATATAAGAACAGATGTACTGTTTACGCTCAGACACTTCTATAGTAGCTGATGAATGTATTTGTTATGCCTCCTTTGCCATGGAGTAATGATTATGTACTGTTAAGCGTTACAGACAGAGATGTCGCGAACCGTCCGCGAACTTCTCGCGAACGGTTCGTGGCGAACTCCGGTCAGCTGACACATCCCGGCCAATCTCCAGCAGACCCTCCCTCCCAGACCCTCCCACCTCCTGGACAGCATCCATGTTAAAGCTGCCTTCAACATGGATGCTGTCCAGGAAGTAGGAGGGTCTGGGAGGGAGGGTCTGCTGGAGATTGGCCGGGATGTGTCAGCTGACCGGAGTTCGCCGTGAACGGTTTGCGGCGAACCGTTCGCGAGAAGTTCGCGGACGGTTTCGGGACATCTCTAGTTACAGACAGTATAGTGTATATCTTTTTGTGGCCGATCACACATATATAAACAGTCAGTTCCTGAATTTCATGTCTTGAAAGCAGGAAAATATGGGCAAGCGAAAAAATCTGGGTGACTTTGACAAAGGGCCGAATTGTGATGGTTAGACAACTTGGTAAGAGCATCTCCAAATTAGCAAGTCTTGTGGGGTGTTCCCGGGATGCAGTGGTTAGTACCTATCAAAAGTGGTGCAAGGAAGGACAACCGATAAACCCCTGTCAGGGTCATGGTTGCCCAAAGCTTATTGATGCACGTGGGAGCAAAGACCAGCCTGTCTGCTCTGATCACACAGAAGAATTGCTGTAGCTCGAATTGATGAAAAACGTAATGCTGACCATGATAGAAAAGTGTCAGAGCACATAGTACAACACAGTTTGATGGTCCCTATCCACTGCCAAAGCTCCTTCAATGGGGATAAGGAAGTATTTTGCTTGGGTGAAAGTGTGTGGCTAAAGAGACAGAATTATGGTGCAACGTTCTGGAAAACATATATATATATATATATATATATTTATTTATTTTTAATGCAAAAACTATAGAAATTTGAACGTGCAAAAAAAAAAATACAGCATATTAATAAGGCCAAAACCTATCAAATGCATTAAAGTATTATTGGTGTTCCTTTAACCCCTTAAGGACACATGACATGTGTGACATGTCATGATTCCCTTTTATTCCAGACGTTTGGTCCTTAAGGGGTTAAGTTGGCTACCATGGTGACCACACTTGGGGTATTATATTTCTTTCAATCTAGATTAATGTTCTTTTGTCTGCTAGTTGCTAGAGGCTGAACTGAAACACATGAAACAAGTGAAAGCAGAATTTGAGAAGAGCAATAAGGAGCAGGTGAGTAAATTAAATGGTGATATTCAAGGAGTAAATATAAAACAGGAAAGTATTAGCGCTATTTGAGTGAAGTGTCTTTTAATTTATATATAATCTGAAAAGCTGCTAATCACCGTGAGAATCTTTTAAACAGAAGTGGTGGAAAACAGTAAGGAATACCGGTGCAGCGCTTATGTGTAAAACTGAATATGGAAAGTTTTTACCCAATTTTTTCTTTCTACGTTTGTCAATAATTTCTTGTTAACCTTTAGGTATAGAAAATAGTAAATAAATTTATGAACAAATGCCAAATGGCAACTCACAATTTTCTGAGCTATTAAATCTAGCTCAGATTTTGGCGCTTTAGGATCCGTATAGGCGACCCTCTCCTTTCTTTAATCCAATCCTATATGGATACAGGAGGGAGTATATAGTGTAGTACTGTTTATATTATAATAAATCTATGTAAATAGTAGATAAGGTACTCACAAACCCAGAGCCGATCTACAGGCTCACTTCAATGCGCATATGTCGTTTAAGGACCACACTCCTTCTTTAGGTTAGCAGGAAAAAGCCATAAGTGTATCAAAAAATATATATATCATTTATTGACTATAAAACATAATTTATTACACACTATAAAAATTCTTATAAAAATGTATGTATATATAGTTAAACACTTATAAGGCTAAAAAGTCCAATAGAGTCCAAAAAAGAGTTTTCAGTGCTCACTTCTCCTCCAGAACGCATTTCGCCAGATGGCTTCTTCAGCTGGATAAATTCTGTGATCGGTGAAAAAGTGGAGCTAGAACATTTGATTGGTTTCCAGTGAGACTTCTTACTTTTACAAATCAACATGTTAATAACCATTTCTAACAATTTCCATAAAGTCCAATTGACTGCCTATAGTAGAAGTATGCCTAACATGTTGGAAAAATGGAGCCACCAACAGTAAAGTTTTCATCCTTTTTCGTCGTCCTAGTCAAAGCTCATAGAAGAGTTCATGGCTGAAGTTGAAAGTCTACGCAGAGCTATAAAAGCATCTTCACAGAATGCAGAAGGGACGGCCCTATGTAGCCAGCTGGAGACAGAGACACAGCTTAGGAAGAAGTTGGAATATAAATGCAAGGTACTTCCTAGTTGGCCTAGTTAGAAAGTAATGGCTTTCAGGGTTGAGAGCGATGGCGTACCTAGCACTGTCGCAGCTGTGACCGGGACCGTCACTATAGGGGTCCGGCCTGGGCCCTGCGGTCGCTGAATGATTGGCGGGAGGGAAGCTCTGTACTGTGCTGCTGCCCTACTGCTGGTCTCTCTAAAAGAGCACTTCCTGTCAGACTGGGTACCGCTCGGCCATGCTACACAGTCATAAGGTACAGGAAAAGAATGGGGAGAGAGGGAATGAGGGCTGGATGGAGGTCTGAGTGAGAGATTGAGGGCTGAATAAGGGGAAGTAAGGGGGCTTGATGAGGTCAGGATTGGAGGTGAGGGGGTTTAATGAGGGCTGGGTAAAGGGGGTTGGTGAGGGGGGTTATTGATGGCTAGATGTAGGGTGATGGGGGTTAATGATGCCTGGATGGGGGTTGAGGGGGGTTAATGAGGGCTAGATGGGGAATGAGAGGGTTAATGATGGCTGGATGGGGTGTGATGGGTGCTGGATGGGGTGGAAGTTAATGGGGGATGAGGAGGTTAATGAGGGCTGGATAGGGGGTGGGAGTAGGAGTGAGGGCTGGATGTGGAACGAGGGGGATTAAAGAAGACTGAATGGGGCAAATAAAGGGGTGGAGAAATTAGACAAATGGAGTGGCTGGCGGAAGGAGACAAATGGAGGGGCTGGGGAGGAGCAGAGAAATTAGACAAATGAAGTAGCTGACGGGGAGAGAATGAGACTTGTGCAGGGTCTGGGGGGAAGGGACGGAGACACATGGAGGGGCAGGGGAGGGAAATGAGACACATGGAGGACCTGGGGGAGGAAATGAAAACACATGGGGGGGGGAAATCAATTTTTGCACCGGGCCCGGTGGTTTCTAGTTACGCCTCTGGTTGAGAGAACTGGTAAATATTAGCATCTGCTTAAACTTTGGGTATATTTTCTTTTAGGGCCTTCAACAGAGAGTTCAAGAACTGCAGGAGGAAAAAAACTTAATTGAGGAAAAACTAAGAAAGGCTAGTGTGGAGTCTGAGCAAGTGAGTATATAGTTATTATAATTGTATTTTTTTTTTTTTTTTTTTTTTAACCATGGAAACCAGTTGAGTGATTATTTTAAAACTTTGCTGATCTATTAAATTGCTGCTACCAGCAAATAAAAGCAGTACAATATTTCCATAACTCCTCTTACTGTGGAGATACTTTGTGAAAAATATTCTTTAGTCAAAAAACATCTTGCTCTTACCTAATATACAGTCTCATTACAATGCCCTTTGACTTAGGAAATCTATTTGCATCATGGGAAATATTTTACTGAATACATTAATACAGAGAAATACTAGCATCTCTATGCACACAGACTCTCCCCATTAAATGTATTTATGCGCCGCTCACCTATTAAAGCTGGAGCTTTGGTTAAATATATTTTTATTCACTAACTGCAAGCCAAAGCACTGGTAGACCTCTGATGTTTTGTTATGTAACCTCAGTCTCCACTCCATGTATTAGTCATGAGCCAGTCCCTTTAACTGCTTTTCTTTAGTTGTGTGGACAGGGCACTTGTGTTGGGTGCTTATGCTCACTATATAACTCTTATTTTTGCTAGTAGGCTGACATATACAATGTAGAACCATTTCTAATGCATAGAATGGGAAAACAAACTTACTGGATTTTAATTGATTAGTCCTACACACATCTTCTGTTGCCTTACTGAATGGACCCTAAACTGAGTGAAAAACCCCTCCAATTTGCTATTTTAATTTACATAGCACAGAACAGCCTGATAATACAATTTCTGTATTCACTTAGATCAGTCGTAACCTGGAGGAAGCTCATAGTTGGTTTCAGTCCCAGTTTGAGGAACTTCAGCTGGAAAATCAAGAGAAGAGGCAGCAGGACATCAATCATTCTCCATTGAAAAGCACACTGGTAAATTTGTGTAGAAGACACGTGTTTGCTGACTGTCACCTTCTAAGATTTGTTCTGCTCCAGTTATTTTTATTTCTGGTGTACAATTCCCTCTTTCTAAATCCATTTGCTTAGCATAGGAGCAGGCTATTATTTCTGTTCTTGACAAAGTACATGTAGAACGAAGCCAGTAGATCACTGGTGCACAGTGTGAATATCTCCTGCTTCTAAGTGAGTTAACATACCTGTTGTCTGTTTGCACTGAATATATTTTAAAATATTTGATAATTTACGGTTTTAATGAAGCCGCAGCACTCATGTACCAGTTTGACAAACTGTATATATACGCTGGCTTGGACCTCCCTAACAAGTCCTACTTGGAATGGGTCAATTTTTCATCATGATTATTTAGCAAGATAACATTGTTGCAATAGTTGAATAAGAAGGGAAACGAGCAAGTGATTGAAGCCACGAGTTACTTTTATTTGTCTAAGGCATTTTTTTACATCTCCCAGGTTGATTCAAGAGGAAACAATATGGAAAATCTGCAACGCTTACCTTATTCAGCTGTAAGCCATTTTGAGACCAAAGAGAAGCTGAAACTGATCTCTAGAAATTACCAATCTAAAGAAGCAAACAGCAACCCTACACGGACAGAGTGTGACATGCCATCCTAGTATTGAGCGTTGCTAACATCTAACGTAGTAATGAATCAGGCTTGTTCGATCCCCAGAACTCTCAGTCCTCAGAATATTCACTTTAAGCACTAAACGTATATGTTTCTTAAAAGTTTACTAGAAAATCAAACAGTAATTTGATATAGATGTGACATTTTCTGAGTGGTGGATTAATGCTGAAAAGCGGTTACAACATTGGTATAGAAGCCTTGGAAAATGGTGCAAAACAAGGTCTACATAACATGGTTTAACCTTTGGGTTAATAGAGCAATACTGTACTGTGATACATCAATGGAAACCAATCATACAGAAAGTTTGCCTCTTTCCATATTGTAGATAGATAGACAGACAGACAGACAGATAGATAGATAGAGATGTATGAATGAAACCAAGAGGGCTGCACTCACCTGAACATGCATACATCATAGGGTGCTGCTGGGGCCAATATATACAACATACAAAATACAGAATCCAGCGCACTCACTTATTCACTAAACAATGATTTCAATCTTAGAGATTGTAATAGTTTTATTTAAAAACACCTCACCTAGGCAAAAATTAATAGGGGTTTATTTACATTATATGATCATATATTGCATAAGCCTGCCACAACGTCAATGTACCCCATTATTGGCAGGTCCAACTCTAGCAACCTAATATCTGTCCTTATGAGATCAATCCACTTACTTGGGAACTACTTCCTGGGACTCTCTGCAGGTTAAGGCTAAATAGGGTCCTGGAATGAGGCACCTGTGACAGGGAGGGGTGCAAAACCAAGGAGTTGGCCTGGACTCCCAAATATTTAAATGAAACTAAGAGGGCTGCACTCAATTGAACATGCATACATTATAGAGTGCTGCTGGGACCAACATATACAACAAAATACACAATCCAGGGCACTCACTTATTCGCCAAACAATGATTTAAAATCTCACAGATTGTAATAGTTTTATAAATCATTGGGGGTTGTTTTTTTTTGTGTGTGTGTGTGTGTGTGTGTGTATATATATATATATATATATATATATATAATGTGGTATGCTGTCCTGATGAAAGCTCCCAAGTGGAGCTGAAACGTCGACTATTGGAGTAAAATTGGAATCTTTTTACAAACCCTGGGAGTGCTGACTATTTTTGTTTCATATATATATATACACACACACACATATACACACACACACAAAAAAATTGGTTGTACAGAACTGCTGTATTTTTTATTTTATTTTAATTATTTATTTCAAGGCAAGAGTATACATCAAGTTATTGATACATTCACAATAGTATGAAGCAAACATATGTGTAAACATATGTGCAGATTCAGCAGATTGTTGCGTGGTAGCTGCGCAAGTCTGTATACCAGTGGCGTGTCACCAGTTTTTTTTTTAAATGAAATAAAACAATGAAAACTGACCAACCACATAAAGAACATCTTTTAGATCCAGTGCTTAAATCATTTGTCCTTTATAATGCGCTAGGGGGTCTGCTGTATGTTTTTATGATTTTTTTTACTAACCTGATTTCATCACCGAGATCCCTCGGCGCTTGGCAACGCTCCTTCTCTGCCAACATCAGCGATGGGGGGGGGACCTAAAGCAAATGCTTTCCGATGGAATATTGCTTGACATCAACTGTGAAACTGTAGGAAGCGCCACTAGTGTTGTCTGGTAGACAGCCACTACAGGCATTCTTGGCACTCCAATGTAAACATTGGAGTTTCTCGAATACTGCAATGATTTACATTGCAGGACTAAGTGGGACAGAGACACTGCACTCAGACCACTTCAATGAGATGGAGTGGTCTAGGTGACTAAAGTATCCCTTTAATACATATCACATACCAATTGTGCTGTGGACAGAATGGTACATTTTTCTAAAATTAAAACTAACTTGGCATAATTCATATTTCATCAGTGCATGCAAGATGCAGTGGTTTAGCTACCTAAAAGAAACATAAAAGGTGCTAAGGTCTGCCAATACTACAGCAACTTGTCTCAGTGCCAGTTCTTCCTACAAGTGCCTGTCTCAATTTTATAAAATGTAAAGATAAAAAAATATCTGACACAGTGCTAATGCACCCTCTGTTATAAGCATAGTATACATTTTTAATGTTAGCTTGATAAACTGACTTCCCCAGAGTGCAACAAGGAACACAAATATATCAATGAATGCAATATGTAACATGAGGATTAGTTAATCTATGCATACCCACTCCTAGATTGTTAACACATTTACATTTTCACCTTGACTCATATTTTTCAGGGTAATACTTTGGCTGTCTAGTACGAAAAATGAACCCACGAGACAACAGCTGCTCTGAGGGGATTGGAACCCCATGCTACAAAATATCCACCAAAGTGGGTCTGTTAACATTTACTTTAAAGATATACTGTAAGCACCAAAACAACTTTAGCTTAGTGAAGTGGGCTTGGTGTGTAGAGCATGCCATGCATTATCACTGCTCATTTCTCTGCCCTTTAGGAGGTAAATTGCTTTGATTATATAGAGCCGTAGCCACACCTCCCTTGGCCATGCCTTACACAGCTTACCTACACACTTCCTGTAAAGAGAGATTTACATTTTAAATTTCCTTTATTGCATACTTTAATTATTTAGAATTTCAAAGATCCCTTGTTTTTTATTGGGCTGTAACACCCTTGATATTAGGGCTCTTCCACTTCACAATGTACTATTTTTCTTTTTTTAAATGATGAATTTTGATTTTTAAAGGGCTTTGCTTGGTGGAACAGAAGTATGCTACAAAAAGAAAGAAGGCCAATATACAACATACATGCAGATAACACTAAAATTTTGATTAGCATATATTAAAATAAAGCTTTAGCTTGAGTAAAGTGAAGACAAAACAAAACACATTTTCTTGATAATCCAGACCCATTTTAAGTTGCAGGGTTAAGGGTAGTGAGAGTTGGCACCCAGACCACTCCAATGGGCAGAAGTGGTCTGGGTGCCTGGAGTGTCCCTTTAACCATAGGAGCCATTTAGGTACCATTATTATTGGTATTTATATAGCACAAGTGAGACATAGGCAACTTGATATTGTTGCGTCTATGGCTGTTCTCGAGGGCGTTCAGGTGTAAGGCCATATTGTGGTGGGGTTTTTGGAGCTGGTGTACCGAGTCTTGCACTTTTGTTAGGTTAGTGGTAACTTCGGCCATATCAGCCTCTGTGGCCTGTACCCGATCCTTTGTGCTTTGCAACTACGCTTTTATTCCTGCTAGTTCTTGCGACAGGATTTTGTGAAAGTCATGTAGGAGGATTTGTAGGTCATGTTTAGTCGCTGGTGGCGATCCCTCCGGGGGCGCTGGTGGTGCTGTATAGAGGTTATTTCTCTCTGTTAGTTCAGCTTGAGCTGTTTGGGTAGGACTAGGCTGATTTTCCTCTGAGGCCTGTTTGGGCCTAGCAGGCCGCTGAAGCATGGCCCCGATGTCTCTACCTTCTATCTGGGTTCCAGCTTTCTGGGAACGTCGCCCCATGGCGGGCATGAAGTCTCCCGAGTTGGAAGGAGATCCGATGCCAGGGATGCTTGTAGGGCCTTGATAAGCTCCACCGTAGAGCGTCACCAGGGTAGGCAGTGTGTGCGTGGAGTAGGCCCTGGGCTTGCGCTTCTGCTTCGGTGTCTTTGTTTTCACAAAGAAGGGCATCTATCGATGCAGTGCGGGTTCCCAGGTCGGTGTATGTGTTTGGGGTGGTGGGATCAGGCTTGATTTTCAAGATTTAGGCGAGATATTAGCTTAGATGTCGGAGCTGTCAGAAATGGCGTCTGATCAGCTCGGCAGTTGGCTCCGCCCCCCTATTCTAAAGTTTTTGATTACAGCCTTTTTCGTATCCTTGGAGATTACAAACTCTACAAAAATTAATGAATATTGATTGGCCAATTTACATCATGCCAAAATACTAAACAAAAACATTGGGTTACCTTCCCACTACATAGTCTCTTTAGGAGAGGATTCACATGAAGAGTTTAATAATAGGGATACACAGACAAATCTAGGGACTGAGTTTGGAAATCTGAGTTGGTAGGTAGGTATGCTCGGCGCATCCTTGCATTGCTGCTTAATATTGGGCAAATACAGACAAAATATGGTATAAAGCCGGAGTATTTATCTGCATCAAGAGCATTGGGAATCTAATAAGAGCATGTTGTTAGGAGAACACATATTAAACACTTTTTTCTCGACACTAGAGCTTACTTAACATGGCCTGGTTTTAGTGAAATGACAAGTGGTAAGTGCTAGTAAATCACAAAGTCCTTTTATCCATCCTGTAACCAGAGTCTGTCACCTGGCAGCAGGTGCCTCTGTCAGTAAGAGGTAACTCCAGAGTAATCTGAGCAGATGGAGAGCTAGGAGTGGGAGGGAGAGCACCTCACCTGTAGCATGGAGACAAAATCGCTTTTATCTTCCATAGGTTGAAAAGCCCTGAGCTTGTTTGTTTCCCAAGGGCAAACAGATACAATCTCCCTTAAACAAGATACATTTTGACATTTCACTGCTAGTGTTTTCAGGCTCTAAGTCAAACATTCATCTTCTCATTAGTTTATTTGCAGTCTAAAAACAGGAAAACGAGAAGAAATGGGATTAAAACATTTCTTTTCCAAATATGTGGTTTATGAGATAACTGGGTTTATTAACCACTAAAGAGCAAATTATAGTGAATTGAAAAGCAACATTTAAGTCAGTATAGAGGATTTTAGAAACTTCTCCGACTCCTACATTTTGCCATACCGTCTTAAATTAAATACAGTTTGAAAGGTTCAGGCCCAGATTGGCCATTATGAACTGGAGGTCTAGAAAGGATAAGGAGAGGCAGCTAACAAGCATCTTCCCATATCATTGTGCAGCATGGGGCATCTCGCTATATGCCACATGTATATGTGAGTGTAACTGTGTCTATATTTGTCTTTATGTATGTATCAGTGAGTTTGTCTGTGTGTCTAGAAGTCTTTGATTGACGTCAGGATCTGTAGGTATGTAATTATGTAGGATAGTAAAGTCTTAACAAAAGTAGTGTAGTGGTTATGGTGCCAGAAGTGCCATGGCACCTACCCAGGGAAAGTGGTCAAAAAATGGTTTAATCACTTACCTGGGGACCACTGGGCACCCTCTACCACCTTCTCTCTAGCTAGAAGCTTCTTCCTGCACTGAGCTCCTTTGAGGAGTGCTCGGCTGATACAAAAGAAAAGGTTTGGGGATTCAGATTTTGAAATGCCTGGGGTATTTCTACTGCCAGTCCAGCCCTGCACATTATTATATCCTAGACAGGGACGTACCTAGAGCATTAATCACCCAGGGCGGATCCTGTGTGTGACACCCCCCTCATCTCCCACCCACTCCCCCAAATGTAAAAAACACCAGCAAAATTTTTAAAATGTTCTCCTTTTTTTTTTTTTATAATCTATTGCACAAATTTGTAAACGTTGTAAAACTGCTCTCTGCCCATTTCAACAAAATCTCTTTCCTTCCCCACCCCCCTACAAAACCCCTTTCCTTCCCCCCTTCTACAAAACCACTGCACCCCCCTACCACAAATCCCCTGCTCAACCCCCTTATACAAGACCCTTGCCACCTTCTACAAAATCCCCGCACCCCCACACACACACAGTTACAGGCAGACAGTCAAAGTCACACACAGACAGCTATAGTCAGTCACGCACACAGTTACAGGCAAACTGTCACACACACAAACACAATCACATGCAGACAATCACGCACACAGTTACAGGCAGACAGTCACACACACACACAGTTACAGGCAGACAGTCAAAGTCACACAGTCAGAGACAGTCACACACACACACAGACAGCTATAGTCAGTCACGCACACAGTTACAGGCAAACCGTCACACACGTACACAATCACATGCAGACAATCACACACACAGTTACAGGCAGACAGTCACACACACACACACAAAGTTACAGGCAGACGGTCAGACAGACACATGCAGTTACAGGGAGACAGTCACGCACACGCAGTTACAGGCAGACAGTCAAACACACACAGTTACAGGTAGACAGAGAGACACACACACTGTCTCTCTCTCACAGACAGTATGGGCTGGAGGAGGAGTGGATTATCTGAAGTCCCTAGGGGCCGTGTTAAGCTCCGCTCCCACTGCAGGTTTGGCACCGCCCCTGGATTGACTCTGCCCCCAATTTTCCTTCTATGTGGCCAGTGGCTATGTCAGCTGTCCAGTGCCCCAGCTTTCATGGCAATCTGTGCAGCCACACAGCTCACACAAGCCTGGCCCTGGTCATGACTCCCCTCCCCCATCTGTTGGCACCCGGGGCTGACCACACCCCTCCTTTTAGTCACTGCTCTGAGATAAAGTGACTTATAATTTGAATTTTTAAAGTAACGCCATGATAACTAATCTGGAAACATTCACCAACTCCTCTATAGTCACAGCTTGGCCATTTATAGGAGTATTTTAGTCTCAATTTAGATTTTAATTTGCTGCAATTCTGAGTATAGTGAATAAACCTATGTATGATTGATAGCACCACCTACCTTTAATAATAACACCTACCTTTTCAGGTCTACGGACAGTACATGAAATGGTTGCACTTTGTTGCTTTCTCATGCTGCCGAGGGACAATCATTAATTAAGGCAATGCCTTTGTGATTTCACACTGATTAATGTTTCCTTCTTAAAGCATAATTGTGACGGGAGTCCTACTGAGTACCTCTGCCCAGTCCTCTTCCTAGAACACTTCCCAGTCGCCGAAGCCCTTCTTCCAGACAGGTATTCACATCCGCCTGCAATGTTATACCTCGTCTTTAAAAAGACACTTGAGGGACTCAGGCCTAGCTCTCTTGCTTTATCCCAGGGCTAAAGGGACCCTGGAACCAGCAAACAGGTCCAAAGACGGTCACTGGGATCCCTACAAATCCACACAGAACCCAAGTTCCAAATGGAACTGACATGTAAAACTTTATTTTTCTCAGGACTAGTGATTATTACATAAAGATTGCTGTGACAATTCAATAAAAATACAAACAGTCAAATCATAGCAGACAACATAGAGCAACTTATTATAACGCTGTGGGGAAGACCATAATTAACCTCTTTAGCACACGTGACGGAAATATGTCCTTAAGGGGTTAACAGAAAATATAGCTCCGGCCTGTAGAATTGGCAATATGCAAATCAACTAGCCTTGCTATTCAGGTAGTGCATATTGCTGTTGCTACCAACAGATGACACTACACAGGCTCCATAGCCAAATCCACCTAGTTGGTAGCAATCCTCAGCAGTACAGGAGAGCCGGCAAAACATTTACACAAATATTTAGTATACACACACACACACAATATAAACAGTTACATTACACACACCCGGCACCAATAATGGGTACAGGTTGACTAAAACATAAGAAAAGTCGAGCAACCTACATAAAATGTCTATCTGAAGGTCCAGGTGATGGTGACGTCACAATAATAATTCTACATACTGCAGGGCAGCACTTTTCCTGTGTTAGTATCCATGATAGACTATGATGGATCCAGCAACCCAAACTATGACTGGTGCTTTGGTTATGTCCTGCAGTCATTCACTGATGTTTTTGTTAAACTGCAATTCTTTAGCTGTAAGGAGAAGATGACCAACTCCTTTAAAATGTGTTTAATTATATTGTATTATAATAGTCCCTTCCAACCCCACCACCCAGGTTTGCAGTCCTGCAATCACTGACTCACAGTTCACACCTTTGCCTAAAGGAAAAGAAAAAAAAGAATTTTCCAAACTTTCACAAGGTATCACAAAATCTCTGTACTGGCAGAGGTTTATAAATCACCACACTAGTCTTGTTCTGTTTCCTGTGCATCCAATCTGTTTTCCAGCAGAGGGATGGGTGAAGGTGGGGTGGGAGTATTTGCAAAGTACAGCTAGTCTGAGCAGCTCCAGTGTCAATGCAGCCCAGACAGAGGAGCACACAGGGAGGAGAAGGAGGTGGAATTAGCAGGAGCACCAGCACCCATAGCACCCTCAGGGCAGAGAAAACCAGGACAAGACACAGCGATATACAAGCAGCGACAGAGGAAGGTACTGGGAGCAGAGGCAGCCCTCACCCATAGGGAGTGCATGTGTGTTCTGACTGCAGTGTTGGCAGAAACCCAGCAATAAATATGAGGTTTTGTCCTGTAGATGTGTAAAGGTTTGATGAAGAGTCCCACACAATCCGGGCTCTTTGGGTGACCGACCCACTGGTCCTGACTGACACTGCATCTCAAAGCTTTGGGTACCCTGCACAGTTCCCCATGCTCTCCCCCATATTGCTTCCTGGATGGGGCAGGTAGCCCAGAGGTGAGCACTGAGTGACTGCTTTAGGGAATCTGTACATCAGTGCAAACCACGGCCAACCCATCACAGACTAACTGGAGCAGCATTACAGGGGCTGCACAGATTTTGGCATTTTACCCTGATTTCTCCCCTGTTGCAGCATTCCCATCGTATGTGTTTAAAACGTGAAACCATGCTTTAGTTCTAGAGCACCGCTTGGCTCCATGATTGATTTGCTGTTGAGAGTAACTGCACCTGAGAGTGATGATCTGCAGCATGTAGCCTGTGATTGGATGATGTGATGCTCTGCATAAGTATAGAATGGCTGCAGTGTTACCTTCCTGTGGTTAGATTTCTGTTAATAGGTGAAACTTTAAATTTAACTGCATTTCCTAATGTCATAGTATCTCAGTTTGAAATAAATCCCCCAGTCCAGCCATATTCTCAGCCTGGCTTTTTTTAGCTTGTGTTTTTAACATATTTATTTCAGTTGGCTACTGTGTTGTGATCTTTGACTGACTGTTGATCATCGGTGCTTGAATTCTCCTTACATGGTTGTATTAGGATTGTCACATATCTCCTGGATAAACCCAAACGTTTATTTATTTATTTTAAAAAAAAGTGCTGCTCTGCCGTATGTAGCCTTCATATGCTGCAGGATTTTTTTGATTGACTTGATTTGCCTCCAACAGCATTTTAATACAACATACCGAAGGGCAACACCTTTTATATATCTATCTATTGGAGATGTGTTAGGGAAACATGATGGATCTATGGTCTCTTACTTGAAGGGATACTATTGTGCCAGGAAAATGTTATTTTCTTGGCTCTGTAGCTCCCTATAGTGCCCCCCTCCGTTCCGCCATCCCCCCTGTTATGCAGAAGGGGTTAAAAACTCCTTCTGTCACTTACCTGGTTCAAGTGCCAGTGTCCCTTGGCACTGGTTTAGGCTCAACCTCCGGTCCTTCCCAGCCTACGGGGGGGACCCAATGTGTGTGCACTGCGCTTGCATTAGGACTTTCCGAATAGGAAAGCATTGTATAATGCTTTTCTATGGGATTTTGGGAGACGCATAGCATGAGAACGTTTAGCACCAGGCGCCCAAAAGTCTCCTAACCACCCGGAAGTTTGTCTAGTGGCGGTCTGGTAGAGAGCCATTAGAGGTGGAGCTAACTCTGGCAGGTAATTATTGCAGTTTATTAAAAACTGCAAAAATTACCACTGCAGGGTTAATGGACCTGGGAATTTGCACCCAGTCCATTTCAATGAGCTGAAGTAATTTGAGTGTCTATATTGTCCCTTTAAAGGACCACTATAGTGCCAGGAAAACATACTCGTTTTCCTGGCTCTATAGGGTCCTTGGGTCCCCCTCACCCTCTGGGTCCCACTCCTGCCGGGCTCTAGGGGGAGGAAGGGGTTAAATTCCTACCTTTTTCCAGAGCCGGGCTCCCTCGGCACTGGGGACTCTCCTCCTCCTTCCGACGTCATCGGCTGAATGTGCATGCACGTCAAGAGCTGTGCACGCATTCAGCCAGTCTCATAGGAAAGCATTCTCAATGCTTTCCTATGGACGCTGGCGTCTTCTCACTGTGAAAATCACAGTGAGAAGCACGGAAGCGCCTCTAGCGGCTGTCAATGAGACAGCCACTAGAGGCTGGATTAACCTTCTGAAACTGGTATGTTTACAGCAGGCAGGGTTAATCCTAGATGGACCTGGCATCCAGACCACTTCATTAAGCTGAAGTGGTCTGGGTGCCTATAGTGGTCCTTTAATGCCATTCTAGAACATAGGTGGGCTTTTAGGCCATTTGTGCAGCTGCTAATATAGGATGTAATAGAGTCAAACATCACATCTGTTTTGGCTTGTTGTTTTTCTACATGTGATCACTTGCCAGCATGGACTACCAGAATGATTATTAGGCTGCTCTGAAAAGGCTAAATAAGGAAGCCCTTCAGAATATGTCCGTGTGTTATGAATGCCAATAATAAAAATATTAATTTCTTAGCTGCACTGATACTGATGATGGTTACAATAGCCCCTACATTTGGCACAGAGGGAAAAAACAACTATTTTCTTCCTCTATCTGTGCATTCGCCCCGTTCGCCCCAAACAAAGATGACCTCTTACAGTATATCTCCTCTGTCTGGGATTTAATGACCTCACCTGTTTTTTTAACCTTTCTTTCCCTGTAGATTGATTCTGCTTTCATAGGGGTTCCCAGATCCACCGTGTTATCACTTACACATAACGATGGGTAACACATTAACAGTGCTGCCATGTGAAATGTAGAATTCAAATGCTACTGGTAGGAAATCCAAGTAGTTGATGAGACATTCTACAGGGCATTACTTTTACTAATGCTGCCCACTAGAATGAAGAAACACTGTTTTTTCCAGAAAAATCAGATGGAAAGCTTACCATGAGCGCATCATTAGATACACTTGTGCTATGCTGTGGGCACTGAGACCAAGCAGTGATGTAATAGCGCCCTCTGGTTTGCCCTTAAGGGGATGGTTTGCATGATTGGAAGTCAACCAAGAGTGCATTTACGCCAGGCTGATTTGCCAGCCTCCCTCTTTAGGTCACGCCAGTGATGCTATTTGCATTAGGATTGACGATCTATCAAGTATTCTGGAAGAGGTATATTTTCTTCAGTCTCTGTCTCAAATCATGAGCTTGGCACATTAAATATTTGTATAATTACGTAGAGTCATCATCTCGCCTGACACCTACAAGATGGCTGCTTATACCATTATGGATTATGGATACCATTATGAATCCCATTATGGATCCCCACCCATGCCTTACAAATTATCAATAGACCTTGGGGTTGTGTGTGTTCTTTGGACAGTTCCACATATAAATCCATTTGTTGCGTAGAGTGTCTTCACACTTCAGACTTTTCCCCGTTGACACGTTAGAATTGCATGACATTTACAGTATTGTGAGCAATTTACCTGCAGTTTGGATACACTTTTTTTTGACTCTTTGAAGTTCAGGTAGTGGTGTTTGCTGCTTTAAACTTACATATCAAAGTGCTAATTGTCAGGTCTCTTTTTTTCGTTTATTCATAGTAATTATACACAACGTAACCAGATATGATTCACATTTGCAGCTTGATTGGCATTCTATTTGATTATGTCAAAATGGATTTCTTTTGCCCATTTTTCTTCCGTGTGATTCTTCTTTTATTACTCTCTCCCTGTCTGTTATATACGACATAGAAATATATATATATATATATAAAAAATAAAAATAAAAAAAACACTAAAAATCTGAATCTATTGCACACTATGATAAAAGGGTTAAATTGATGCAAGTTCTGCAAAAATTATAATGAAAAACACTAATTGAAATAAATCAATTATATATACAGGATTCAGTGGAAATGAAAGTATATAGAGCACTTCACAATAAATGAAAGTTAGTTCTTGCTCTCTTATTTAGATACAAATGTATCAGCTGGTCATGTCATCACCACCTATTAAATGAGGAAGGCAGAGTCTATGAACTGCTGAAAATAATCTAGTATAGGTTTCAATAAATTGTGAATCCGATATACATCACTGGGTAATATGAATAAAATAAATCCGTCAAAGGGTTAAAATCTAATGCAGCAGACAAATACTTTTCAAAGTTTATTAATAAGTAACAAAAAATGCTACAAATATATGTAGCTTTCAATAAAAGTCCCAAAAAAGAGTAGCAAATGAAACAGCACCAGTACCAGGTTTAACAGACCTCGAGCCCAAAGGATATTGAAATCACTTTCTCGCCGGCCGGACAGAAGTGAATGGGATTTTCCTCGTGCTGTGTACCGCTGGTTTCTAGCCGCGTACGTTCCACTGCGGCTCAGGATGCGTGTCAGAGGTGCTCACTCTCGGGACCGATGTATGTTAGTGTGCAGATGCCGCATTACGCGTTTCGTGATTTCCGATCACTTCATCAGAGGATGGCATCTTAGAGTCTGCAATCTTCTTTATATACTTGTTCAGTCTGTCTTCATTAGTGTTAAATTAACCCTTGCTATGTTCACACATAATGTTACAATTCATATCGATAGAAGTTCACATAAAAGTTAACACATAATACATTGTTTCTTTTTAGAGGATATAACCATACATAAAATCCATAATGAAAAATTTATAACCATATTTAAAATCCATAATAAAAGAAAAGAGACACTATAAAAAAGGCAAAGAACAGAATTATGGAGAAATTCTGACATATTGGAAACATAGAAAAGATAGTGATAATATATGTTTTATATTAATTAACAAATAGCAAATATACCATTCTAATCAATCTAATATAGATACATTATAAAATCTTATATTTCTCACAAATTGATCATCCAAAAGACAATAAATTAAAAGTTTATGCATGGTGAAAAATAAATATTGCTATTGGAATAAATATATAAGATATAGCAGTACATATATAATTGATTTATTTCAATTAGTGTTTTTCATTTTGATTGCTTAACCCCTGGTGGTGGTTATTTCATACTAGTGATACAGTGGTTATGGTAGCCATATCCAATCTTTATATTTAACCTTAGAAAGATATTCTACCATTTTGCTTGGTGCGTATCTACTAAGTTTTATCATATTGCTGCAAAAATTATAGCCTAGAAAATGTAAATGCTAAATATGTCTGAAAACATTTCGGTTTTCAACAATGTATGACATAGACCATCCCGCCATCAGATCCCACACTAATAAAATATAAACTGCTCATAATGCAAAAACTACATTTCTACATACACATGTGGATTTCTCCAACCTATAATGCAGTGATAGGCTGAGAGACAGGGGCCAACATGTTCACACTTCCCTCAGAATTGTCTTTCAGGTTTGGATGGATTCCCTGTTGATAATGGGGAACTGACACTTCCACATTATCAGTGCAGCTAAAGAGGAGAAGGCCTGTCCATGCCATAAAGTGTTTTTTTTTCTTCTTCTTCAAACTGCTCCAAAAACAGTTTACTTATTACTCCACGTCCAATACAATAAGCTGTAATGGTTATGGTGCATAGACTACCCTTTTATTATGTAGTTCCTGAAACCGCCTTATTATTCTTCCTTTTTAGAAGGTAACATCTCTGTACAACTACAGATGTATACGTGTAATTTTTACACTTTGTTTCGTACATGAAATGGATGCACAGTGCATATACTACTTTGTGTCCGATCTTTCAATGTCCTTCATAAAGCTGTGAAATTCAGTTTTTCTGCCTTACTAGCCTGAAATGAGCATTTCATAGATTCGTTCCTGACAGTTCAGAAAATTAGTGCTCACTATTTCACTTTCCATCCACAAATATGAAAGTTATAACCAGCAAATATTGATCTTATGGGTCATTTAGCACAATAAACATGCACAGTGTAAACCACCAATAGTGCTTCTGCCCAAACCTTAGAAGGAGTTATGGTACCATTTCTACAAATTCTCTGGTCCCTCTGCATGTGACCTAATGCTTCCATAGTAAATATCAAAACTTTCCGATTGCATATAATACCCTATAGTCTAATATCATAATCTTCTACTCTTACTACTACACACTACTAGTGGCCTGGCTAAAGCTATACTAAGACCCACCATAAAAATTAGTTGCTGGATGTAAATGCTTTTCACCCTAAAATATTTCCCTTGGAAAATTACGGATGTCATAGTCTAGTATCCTTTCATGATGTGATTTTATATCATTTGCATCCTCTATAAGGACACTGGTGGAATGCATAGGAGTGTGATACATTCAGCATGAAATCCTAAATCTATGAATAACTGAAATGGATACTATAGTCACCAAAACAACTGCTTAAAGAAGAAGTTGAAACAATGCTTTCCTATAGGGAATCCTAATGCGCATTAGGTCTCCCCTGCTGGCTGACGTCGGCGGGGGAGGAGCATGTGCGGAGCCTGACCCAGCACAGAGGAAGATCTGTGCTGGAAGCAGGTAAGTGACTGAAGGTTTTTTTTTGTTTTTTTTTTTAATGTTACAAAATGCCCTTTTAATACAAACTCAGCTCTCATTTACATCGACTATGCAACTTCAGATTCATTGAGTGGCAATTCGCTATGAAAGGAATGCACACTGCAGGGATAAAAGCCTGACTAAAAATACACATGCTGTGGAGGGAAAAAAAAAGTATCACAATCGACAGATAAAATTAAATGTGATAAAAAGGGAGAACATTTGAAGACAGTTGTAAATAAAAATAATGTAACCAGATGAGGTCCTTTAATTCAAAGACAGGCTGTCTAAGCACAAATCATTAACATTCTGCATTTACAGCAAAATACTACAGGATTCAATAAGGAATTTTTTTTTACAGTTGGTAAAACATTAATTTGACAAGTTCAGGACAGGGTCTCTTCTCGCACACTAAAAAAAACAAAAGAACAAACAAAAAGAAAGTCTGTATAAGTATAGTCAAGCAGTCACACATCTTCCATGAAATGACTTTGCATTCAGGTGGTAGCAGAACAAATTAAGTCTCCACTTTGGAATGTCCAAACAGAAGGCTCTGGCAAGGTTAGACTGGTTTGGGGAAGGAAACCCAAAGTCTCCTTTTGACCTCAGAGTCCTTTCATTTAAGGGAGATTGCTTAAGGTTTGAAGGGGAATCAAACTGTTTAGTCATCAAACTTTATCTTCTTTCCTTGGTTTCCACCTCTGAATCCTCCACCTCCTCTACCTCCAAATCCTCCTCTTCCTCTACCACCAAATCCTCCACGGCCGCCACCACCTCTGCCGCCAAACCCACTACGACCGCCACCACCTCTGCCGCCAAAACCACCTCTTCCAAATCCTCCACGACCTCCTCTCTGGCCTTCACCTTTGGGTTTTGCAAAATCTAGAGTGACTTTGCTTCCATCTATTTCACCATCCTCCATTGCATCTTTGGCAGCCTTTGTATCTTCAGCAGAAGAGAAGTCTACAAAGCCAAATCCCTTGGATGCTCCAGTGTCTCGATCGGTCACAATTCTTGCATTTATGGAGCCATCAAATGCTTCCTTTAAAGTTTCCTCCGTGGTGTCTTCAGAAAGGCCTTTGACAAAAAGGGTCTTTGTCTGTGCAGAAGCTCTGCCACCACCTTGAGGGCCACCTCCGGTACTAAACTCAAGTCGAATAGTCCTTCCTTCAATTTCTGTATTGTTAAGGGATTCAATGGCATCTTTTGCTTCTTCCACAGTTGAAAATTCTATGAATGCAAAGCCTTTAGGTCTTCCCTGATTGTTCTGTGGTATCCTAATTGATGTTGCTTTCTCAAAGACTTCCTGTAAACTGTCTTCTGTAGCACTGTAGGCAAGATTGTTCACAACAAGGGTTTTGGAATCTCCTCCAGGGCCAGAAGATCGCCTTGCTCCACTGTTTTGACTCTTGTCTCCGGTGAAGTCCAAGAATATAGCTCTCCCATCAATCTCAGTTCCTTGCTTTTCTTCAAGAGCTTTATCTGCCTCTGCTTCACTGCCGAATTCTACATAAGCAATACCTTTGCTTGATCCATCATTCCCACTTGGAAGTCTAACTTCTTTTGCATTTTCAAATATTTCCTGCAGGTCCTCAGAAGTTGTGCTGTATGGAATATTCTTGACAAACAGCGTTCTTGAGTCTCTCTCTTTTTTGACCTCTGCACTTTTATTCTTGTCAAAGGCCATAGCTTTATCCAGCTTCATATCAAAACCAAGAACTTTCTTCCCATTGAATTTTAAAGCCTTTTCCACCTCTTCTTCAGATGAGAATTCCACATATCCAAATTTCTTTGATGCACCAATGCGGACATCCTCAACAGTTAAGCTTTTCTTTGTGAAAAACACTCTAAGAGCCTCCTTTAATTCATCAAAGTCCTTAGCAGAGTTCAGATTTGCCACAAATACGGAGAGACCTTCTGTTCCCTCAGTTTTCTGCTTTTTCTCTGGGACAGCCTTCTTCGGGATCTCTTTTTTACGTTTACCAGATTCTTTTACAGTTTCTTCTTCCTCATCGTCGTCATCATCTTCGTCATCATCATCGTCGTCAGACTCTTCTTTTGCTTTGACGGGGCAGCTTTCTTTCCTTTTGCAACAACTGGTGTTACTTCCATTTCTATATCTGAATCTTCCTCATCTTCTTCATCCTCAGATTCCTCTTTCTTTGCAGGCTTCTTTGCCACAGGCTTTGCAACTGGCTTTTTGGCAACTGGCTTTTTGGCACTGACCTCTTCCTCAGAATCATCATCATCCTCATCATCTTCGTCGTCATCATCATCGTCCTCTTCAGCTACAGGTGCTTTGGCTACAGGTTTCTTGGCAACCGGCTTCTGTTCCTCTTCGGATTCTTCATCAGATTCTTCATCCTCACTTTCCTGCTTCTTTGCCTGTTTGCCATTTTTTGTGCCTACTGGAGTAGCTCCTTTTTTTCCTGGTGTGACTGCCACTTTAGCTGGAGTGGCAGCTTTCTTTGCTGGTGTTTGTTTAGCTGGAGTGGCAGCTTTCTTTGCAGGGGTTTTCTTCACGGGGACTTCAACCTCCTCTTCACTGCTTTCTTCCATGTCCTCCTCTTCATCACTATCATCCACATCTTTTGGTGGTGGCGGTGCAGTCTTCTTTTGTTTATTTTGCATTTTTGCACCCTTAGCTAGTTTCACCATGTCTGCGGTCGGTGTGATTCCGATGGATGGTAGTCTCACAGGTCAGAGCGATGCTACAGAGGACAGAAGAGGCCTGTGACAAGGAACCGACTGGACGGGAAGGCTTCAGAGAAGGCGCTCGACTGAAGGGGTTTTAACCCCCTTAGCTCTGCGGGAGGATCGACTCGAGGAAGGGGGGCACTGTAGGAACCTATGGTGCCAGGAAAACGGCCTTGTTTTCCTAGCACTATAGTATCCCTTTAATCACACACAGAGGGCTCCTGCAAGGTCTAGCAAATTATTAACAGAGCAGGAGATAGGAAATTTTGGATTAAACAGAATATGCAATAAAGGAAGTGTAAGTATTAGATGATTCTTTACAGGAAGTGTTTAGGAAGGCTGTGCAGGTTACATGCAGTGAGGTGTGACTAGGGCTGTATAAACAAAGTGATTTAAGTACTCCATTACAGGGAATTGAGCAGTGCAACTGCAGGGGCAAGACCTATACACAAAAACTGCTTCATTAAGGTAAAGGTGTTTTGGTGACTATAGTGTCTCTTTGATATCCAACCATTTAGCTCACTTAGACGAAGAACAAATACCATAACATAAACTTCTACAACAGAGATCTCTGTCTCTGGTCACATTGCCCTACTGGAGTAACAAACAAAAATGGGTTAGATAACAAAATGACAAAAGAAAAATTCAAGGTGATTGATATAACAAACTTAAAGTTAGGCAAGAAATTGAAAAAAAGTGACAGAAAACATAATTATTAGTGGTGTTTAAAATACAATGCAATTTTGTATTTGATACGGAAGGTTGCAGTGACTCACCTAGTAAATACACACATTCTTTCTATGAAATACTTTTGGTTTAAGTTTTGCTACATCTCCAGTTTAAAATCTTTTGAACACAAGGTAGGATTATATGTGGTTATGCAACACGGTTATATTTATTGTAGCAAAGGGATGCAGTGTTCCAATGTACTAGTGATTTTTTTTCTTTCTTTTTAATTTTATGTAATTATTTTTTTATTTAAAAAGACACTATAGGTACCTGTAGCGGAGAGCAGTGGTAGCAGGGTTTCTTCTCCGCTGGTTACTCCAATAGCTATTCAGAAACAAGCTGGAAACTTCAAGACAGCAGGCATAAAAGCAAGATGCTACACAAATATCCCATCACCCTTCCCAATAACTGGACGATACTCCGTATTAAGAGCAGAACTGATCCTTTAATGGCTAGGCTGGCCTTTTATGCAGGTTTTGCCCCAAAGGTTACCACCCAGGTGGACCTTGTGGGACACCGATAAAAATATACATCAACCATTAAAAACAGAGTTAAGTCACAAGGCACTACCATACACTGCATACAATCCCTCCCCTCTACTCAGGGGATAATTGAGTTAATTACTGTATCAACTCAATTATCCCAAAACAGAAAAATCGAAATTTTCATACTTTTCTGGAAACACCCCAAAAACATATCCTACATTCACAATTCCAACATCACCTGATAGCCCGATCTGGGGGAGCAACATACTGAAAAATCACCCAAATCGGTTCAGGGGTTCGAAAGTTTTATGGATGTCTTAGTTTTACCGACCGCACACAAGCTATAAGCCGAGAATAGTTCCATGAGTTTTGGGTGTGCGGTCGGTCTCCATTCGGGAAGTTGAAATACATGAAAATATACAACATAATTTTTCATGTCTTTGTTCGTTTAATTTCCCCCGTTCGTATGGTTCTTTTTACCGAACGCCGCTCTGTTCCCTTGAGTTCCCATGAACGTATGCAAGGATGGAAGTCTCTGCGGTGTTCATGCCGTTGCGTGTCCTATTTAGATTCCAGACACTCGACGACCAAACACCGCTGGTGCAATTCGTATGTTAAGATTGCCACCGCCACATGTTCGTATGCCAAACGGCGGACACCCTGGGAACACCTAGTTAGTTTGTGCGGTTGGCAATTAAGCAGTGTGAATAACGTTAGGGAGGTCAATTGATGCCACGCTCCTCTCCTGGGTGGCCTGATTGTTCGGTAGTTTGTTCGTTTGTCGAACAATATGGTGTAAAATAGTTGAAATAGGATTCTTACCGAAAAACCAGACGAATGTGAGTTAATATTACAATTGTTACTTGTTTCCTCATGTAACCAATAGGGCAAGTAACTTAAATACAGTAACAAATAGGGTGGGTTGACAGCCCTTAGCAAAAGGAAGGTATTGTGACGAAGCCCATTCCGCTACAGTACCAAAACAACAATAGCATAATGAAGCAGCCTTGGTTTATAGACCATGCCCCTGCAATCTCACTGCTCAATCCTCTGTCTTTTAGGAGTAAATCACTTTAGTTCATACAAGCCCTAGTCACACCATCCTGACTTGCACAGCCTTCCTGTAAGGAGAGATCTAATGTTTTAATGCACCTTCTGTTTAAATTAGAATTCCTTGTCTCCTACCCTGTTAATAGCCTTCTAGGCCCTGGAGGAATGTGAATTTAAAGAGCAGGAGATAAAAACTTATAAAGAAAGTTAACATCTGATTGAAAAGGAAAACATTTGTATGCAATCTGTGTCAGTCACAGCCATGGCAGGTGTGGCTATTGCTGTATAAACAGAAACAAAAGTGATTTATCTCTTAAATGGCAGAGAATTAAACATTGAGACTGAAGGGGCATGATCTACACACCAAAACTGCAACATTAAGCTAATGAATGCATATAGCACCCCTTTAACGTAATTTTAGTGCCATGGCATAACAATGGCACATGGGCCATGAATATAAGTACAGGAATACACTGAAAATAAAACACATCTCACATTCCCTGACCTTTTCTTCCTCAAACTGTGGCCACAATGAGAGAATGAATTAAAATCTTCTGAAATTATATCATTGTTTACCATATAAAGGTGATCAAAGAATAAAAAAAAATAAAAAATAAATCGATAACCGGTAAACTAGAACTGGGCATTTTTTTTTTTTTTTAAAGTTAGTTTATTTATTTTCTTCTCTCCTTGCTCTTCTTCTTTTGTTTCTCCCCTTTTCTTTACTCTTGATGCGTTCCCCTCTTTCTGACTCATATTTGTATAAAATGTGGGATCTGCCACCTTTATTAATGGCTATACTTTTTTTATAGTTCACCCTACCTATTACGTTAATTAAGCAATGGTTTGTATACATTTTTTTTATAGAATTCTTTCTTTATAGGTTTTTAACTATACAGTGTAAATACAACAAAAATAGTCACAGTAATTTGGTATGTATGCATGTGACCTTTAACATTAATATGTTTGTCCGGTAGCCATATATTTGTTGTCACATTTGATGAACAATATCTCATGACCAGGGCCGGTGCAAGGAATTTTGCCGCCCTTGGCAAAAAAAAATTTGCCGCCCCCCCCATATGTCCTGCCCACCATGTGACATCACAATGCCCTGCCCATATGCTCTGCCATTCTTCACAAAGTGTCTTTTATCTGAAAAGACAGTGTTTACATTAAAAAGCCTACAGGCACAGGCTATAGACACCAGAACCACTACATTATGCTGTAGTGCTTCTGGTGACTATAGTATATTTAATGTGAGGTAAATTAGAGATTAGTGCCACTAATAATATATTGGATTGCCTACTTACCACCAGATGAGGACAAGAGGCTGATGATGGGCTCAGTCTGGCTCCACAGGTCTGGTGTAGAAGAGGCTCTCTGGAGACTGTTTTTAACAGTGCTCACAACAATTAACGAACAGGAAGCAGCTCCATTTTTTAGGGCCCCTTACACAGCTCAAGGTCTGGGCCCCCAGGGCTTGACAGTGAGTATGCCTACAATGCCCACCCATAAGTCCACCTACATGGCCCACCCGTGAGTTCTCTCACAGGGAGTGGAGTGTATGTGTGTAGGGGATGTTTTATGTGTTATTGTAGAGGATGCAACTTGTGTGTGTTCTTATAGAATGTAGTGTATAGGGATACCAATTTCTGTCAGGGATGTAGTGTGTTTATAGGGGATGCAGTGTGTGTTTGCGTGTAAGAAATGCATTGTTTGTTTCTGGGTGTGTGTAAGGGGTGCAAGGTGTGTTTCTGTGTATTTAATTGAATGCAGTGTGTGTCTGTAAGGGGTGCATTGATTGTGTAAGATGCATTTTGTTTCTGTGTGTAAGAGAATGAGTTTGTGTGAACGTAAGGGATGCATTGTGTGTTTCGGGTGTGTCTGTGTGAGTAGGAATGCATTGTATGTTTCTGTGTGTGTGTTTTTTGGGGGGGATGCAATGTGTATGTGTGTATGTGTGTAGTGTAAACGAGAGGGTTTGTGGGGTAGGATAGGGACTGAGAGGGGAGCAGCTCTTTATTTTTTTAATTTTTTGCATAGTGCTCACCCTCCTGTCAATTATTGATTTCCCCTTCCCTCCTGTACCTTAGTGCTCTCCCTTGGTCCCCTGTAGTCCCCCCCTTGGTGGTCTTCTCACTCCCCCTTAGTGGTCCTCCATCCCTCCCCTTAGTGGACCTCCCTCTCCCAAACCCCTTAGTAGACATTCCCCTCCTCCCCCCACCCCCTTAGTGGTCCTTACCCTCCTCCCCTCTCCTTAGTGGTCCTCCCTACTTACCCCCCTTTGGTGGTCCTTTCCCCCCTTAGTGGTCCTCCCTCTCCCAAACCCCTTAGTGGACCTCCCTCCCCCCCTCTCTCAGTGGTCCTTACCCCCACTCCCCCTCCCCTGTGGTTCTTACTCCCCCCCTTCCTCCCCCAGTGGTCCTTACTCCTCCTCCCTTCCTCCCCCAGTGGTCCCTTCTCTCCTCCCCAGTGGTCCTACCTCCCCTGGTGGCCCTACCCCTGGTGGTCCTACCTCCCCTGGACCTACTTCCCTCCCCCGCCCTGTGGTCTACCTACCTCCCTTCCCCTGGTGGTCCATACCCCCTTCCTGGTGGTCCTTACTCCCTCCCCTCGTGGTCCATACCCCTCGCGGGTGGTCCTTGCCTACCCTCCCCTGTGGTCCTTGCCTACAACCCCCTCCCCTTGTCCGTTACAACCCCTCCCTCCCCTTTGGTCCTGCCTACAACCCTCCTGTGGTCCTTGCCTACCTCCCCTGGTCCTGACCTCCTTGGTCCTACCTATTCCAACCCCCCCTCTGGTCCTTACCTATTCCCACTCTCCCCCTGTGGTCCTTATCTATTCCCACCTCCCCGTGGTCCTTACCTATTCCCACCCTCCCCTCATGGTCCTTACCTATGCCCCCCCTCCCCTGGTGGTCCTGGTACCCCTGGTGGTACCTCCTCTTTCCTCCCGTATGTAGCGTGGCCGGGCGGCGCGGAACGCGGGACAGGAACCTCTGTTTCCTGTACCCAGCCGCCGGCGGACTGACAGGAAGCAGCTTGTCCTCCAGAAGGCATGGGGCAACGGAATAAAAAATCTAAGCCGGATAGACCCCCTACTGCTAGATCTCCTGCAGAGGCCGCAACATTCCCAAAGGCTGCAATTGTGTCTCAGACAACATATACAACTCGTCTAGCGAGGCATCTGTGTCTGAGGAGGGTGACTCCGATCACTGAGGAGAAGCTGAGGGAAATGCCTGGCAAGCTGCGCCACAATATTGCAGCTGACATCGACATGTTCCGCGAAGAGATCAGCGGAGTGTCGGCCCGCCTGCAAAACACAGAGCTCAAAACTGCCGCACAGGAGACCTGACTTGTGACAGTAGAGCAGCAACTACTAGCCCTGCAAAAGGCCCAAAGGCAACACCAAGACTGCATGGCAGCGCTTGAAGATAAAAGGCGTTGGAAGAACATCAAGTCCGTGGCCTGCCTGACGCGGTGGAGACCGCCGAGCTACCACACCTTTTCCGCAGAATGCTTAGCACGCTCTTCACGACAAACAGGCCAAAGGGATGCCACTGGATAGTTGATATTGGATCTCCAGGCCACAGACCGGTACCCCAGAGGGGGGAAAGATGTAATCATTCGATTCCAGCAAGGCCGAGATCGGTGGCCATGTGCAATAAATCCCCTTTACACTTTGAAGGCTATTCCCTGACCTTCTACCCTGATCTGGAGACGGTCCCTGAGACCCCTCACCAAAGAGCTCCTTGCACACAACATACCTTACCGTTGGGGCACACCCAGTAGCCTGCTCATACCCAGGGACACTGGTAACTTTAAAGTACACGAAGCAGCTGAGATCCCAGCCATACTGCAGAAACTCGACTTGAATGGGCAAGTACATGAGCAAACTGATTCTAACATACCAATGATATCCACAGCCTGGAATCCTGCTACAGTACGCCCATTCATACCAGTGGTCCCACGAGGAGAAACAGCATGCCCTGAACTCTTTGCAATCAATAATGCCTGTTGCTGTTATGTCTTGTTCAATATTCTTTAAAACCTCCATGAATACCGTTACAATTTTGTTTATTACATATGGCATAAGTGCTATACCTCTAAGATAACTCCCCACACACTCCTCCAATTCTCCTAACCCCCCCCCCTTACCATAGGAACTACTGCTTTTGCCATCCCATGAGTCTACAAAGGGGGCACAGGCCTCTCTCACTCGCCTCCAGTCCATTGGACTCTATCCAACTCTTTGGTAAAAGAGGCATCTAATGCACCCTGCCCCACACGTACATATAGAATACTTGTCTTGCAACACTTAGGCAGAAGCTGCATGCTAGTTATCTAACTGTTTTTACATTTTATTAGTTTTAGTACTGCATTGTATTAAAAATGTGCTATGTTATCAATGACAACAATTGTTAACCCTTGTTGAACAAACAACTTGCAAATGTAAGCCTATGCACTACTAAAATAAAAAAAATAAAAAGTATATTATTTTTATAAGGGTTAAAATATATCCCCATACACTTGACGCGTTCCGCCAAATCACAGGCTTTATTAAAGTATTCTATATCTGCTACAACGGTTGATTGTTCATAAATTTGTGAACATTACTCGAGAACATGTTTATTTCATTAATGCCATTCCTCTAGAAAGTTTAGATATAGGTATTACGCTAATTGCTGTTAAAGCAAATGGCATTCAATGTCTAATTTCTATAAAAATGAGCCATCATTACAGATGTTAAACCATTTTTCAACTTGTTTTTCACATTTTGATCTCTTGCCTGGTCTCATGGTTTAACACGATTGGGTCACCAGAAAAGAGTTTCCAAGTGGTATAACTGTCTGAAGTTTGTATTATTATGATAAAAATTTTGCAGTTTCTTTTGGTTTGTGCTACAAATACACACCTGTCTGCAATTGACTATACATGTACAAATAAACTATATTTTAAAGGTGACACTAGTACCAAAACCACACCATCTTAATGAAGGGGTTTTGCTTCCATAACCTTGAGCTTTTTTCTGGTAATGTAAAACTTGCTGTTTTTAGAGAAATGGCAGTATGTTTTTTTTGCCCATACATATACACCTCTGGTGGCTATCAGACTTCAAGCTACTAGAAGCACTTTCTCATTGAAGACATTGTTATTGAAAGCCTTAATGTTTAGCATTGCTCATCGTAGGCAATTAATGTCATACAGATGCATGCTGAATTAGCTGAGCGTAGCCATACCACGATATATGTACCAGAGATAGCATGTACTACAGTTCTGCTCTATCTGTGCATCTATAAGGTATCCCAGGTGCACACCTCCTGTATCCTTGGGGAAAAAATGAAAGTTCTCTAACATTTATCTCCGCTTGCTGCAAGATTCCTTTCTCACTTTTTAAGTCACACCAATATTTTCCCTGTGTTGTTGGTACCTAATTGTATGGGCTATCATACCCATCAGAACGGGAACCCAAAATGGGGCCCCTTGATGTTTAATTATTCTACTGATACAATTTATTACTTTTATGACCTGGCTTACCTGGGCAACATTGTAATTAAAAAAAACAAAAAAAAAAAACTAAAAAAAAACAACCTGATGAGTGATGTGGTGCAAAATGTACAAAAACAAGAATAATTGAATTAATTTATTAATGAGTTACCACGACAATCTGTGTGAACACATTGTTGTAATTTAGTTGCTTCTATACAAATGGTGAAACCAACACAGTGAGAATTAATTACAGTGACCCAATTGCAGCATTGAATGCTGAGCCGTGAGTCTGTTTTTGCTCAGTTTGTGTTGTGTTCCTCTGTGTTTGGCGAAAGCAATATAGTTTAAGTGTGTACAGATAAATGATTAATACTCTAGTAAACATGGCAGGATCCTGGCTGCATCTCTAGGAAACCTTTGAAATCGATTTGAGAGTAGCCTGGAAACCAGAGAAACTACAGATGAGATGCCATAAAATGGTAATGTGTGTTACGGGTGCTTAACACACACACACACACACACACACACACAGGACGAACACTAAAGTGCTTCTCTATGGTGTTCTACATTTAGGTAAATAACAATACACTCTTTCTTAAGGATTCTGAATAAAAAAAGGTTTAAAATAAATAAATTTAAAAATAAATTATATATATATATATAGAGAGAGAGAGAGATTTATCTGCTCTGAAATGCTGTTTTAATGCTGTTTAATTACCTTTTGAAGGGTCACTCACCAAACCCAAATAAGACCAAAATTAGTTATTGTACATGACCACTTTGCAACAGATTGTTTGCCAGGGTTGTCATGATATAAATAGGATTTCCTAACCCCCTGTCGTGGAGTGTAATCTACACAATGTGAAGAGATCTCTAAAGTCTTAATGGAGATATACAGTAAAAAAACAAAGAAAAAGGTTACCTGCGCTCTTCCCAAATCCCTATGCATATTTAAACAAATGGAGGTTATTTAGTTTCTCCAATGGCCGTGAGAGACTTTAGCCCACCTGCCCCGTTAAGGCAGACCTCTCAGGTGGGTCCTACTCTGACCCTTTTCCTTGCTTCCTTGAGCTTCTGGCAAAAATATCTCTAATGAGACAGAAAGGGGTATTTTTCTATATACACCTCTACATGCTTATTAACCCTTAATAGGGAACACATGACATGGGCGCCAGCATTGTAACATAGCTGGGTGATACAAAAGTGAATACAAATACAAAAAAAAAAAGTCCTGCGCTCAGACTCCCATCACTTCTGGGCGGCAGCAGAAGTGACCATAGTACACATCAGCCCCAGTACATACAGTAAAAACCAAAGTTACCAAAGTTACCTGCGCTCTTCCCAAATCCCTATGCATATTTAAACAAATTGAGGTTATTTAGCTTCGTGGAGATATGCCTCGAGGACCAAAAAAAACAAACAAACAATATCCTTTTCAAACTGATCAATGCGATCCTGATTAAAGTGGCAACCTATCATTCTCTCTTTTAAAGGTTTCAGAATGCCTGGACTCTACAATGCCTCCACCTGGGTGCAGCTCCCTCTAGAGGCTTCTTCCGTAAGTGCCTGTGCCAATGGATACAGCTTCGGAATCGCTGCACATCTCACCTACCTAAACACGAACAGTGACTCTGTGCACGGTATGAGATTATTGAGTTTTCTATTTCACCTGTTCCTGGATATTTAGAATCGAGGCCTAATTGTCTGCCATCAGGGAGGATTTCATTGTAATGTTAAATCTGACAGGAAGTGTTCTCACTAAGAGCACTTCTTGTCAGTCCGGGTAGAGGAAACTGAAAATCCTCTATCCGCTAAGCAGCAGGCACAGGAGGTTGGCGGAATGGAGGGGATGGACATGTAGGGGGAACTGTGTCACATGGAGTGGAGGGGGACTGAGATACATGGAGGGGAGTGAAAGGAGGGATAGACGCTCAAAAACTGACCAGCAGGAGGGGAGCGCTTTCCCTCCTGCTGATTGCCTCACCGGGCAGTTCTTGCTGACAATATTAAAGGCAGGAGTGCTCTATTGGGAAGTAGGAAGTGAATCTCATCTGTTTAATTGTCAGCTGGGAGGCGTTTCTATTTTGAAATCTAAAACTGCTATTTTCACAATGAAATTGGCACTTTTCTAAACTGGAATTGTAAATGGATACTCCACAGCCATATAGCTATTCGGCAAGCTGAAGTGGTCTATGGGTACGGTGGACTGCTCCTTTAATATATATATCCAGCCATTTGCAATACTTTGAAACCTTTGAGACTTTCGGACAAAGTGAGGCTGATATATGCATTGTTTTCCATCCCTTCCCACAATGTCAGCTATCTTACAAAATATGGAGTTCCCACCATGGTTAATGGCTCAGGATTTTGGAGGGTTAGAGCACCCTGGTTTTCGGTGGTTTAAACATTATACTGTGTTTCCAAGTTGGGCTCTGTTGCAGATATGGATTGCCTTTCTCTTCTCCAGACTAGAGATGTTTTTGTTATTTGCAAATACAAGATTTTACTCTCTGTGAGAGTGTAAAGCAGGCTACCACCTAGAGCCAGCTTTTATGAAGACCTCGTTGTCCAAGCATCTGGGAGAAAGAGCCTGATCTCCCTGAAATCTTGTATTTGGGGAAACCTAACTCACATACATTACTGGGCTCAAGACCTGTGTGTGCATAAAACGCTTCAGGTGAAGCATATTTTAGATTTTTGCACTAATGTAAGCAAAGGTTTTACTGGAGAACTTTAGCTTTACTGACTGTCCTTTGCAGCCATGTTTATATACCTACTGGAGGAGGGAGAGGTGGTGACGAATTTTGAGGCAATCATTGGCAACCGCAAAGTTCAAGCTCAGGTCCAGAGCCAAATCCGAATGGAGGATTGCTGCTCGGAGTGCCAGTGGGAGTCCATCCCTTGTTACTGTCCCAATGGTGAGTCCTGTCTTTCTAACAAAGGTCAAAAGCCACACCTAGGCTCACAGTGTCCCCAATAGCTCTGTGCATAAAACTGTAATAAACCCAATATGCTTTTAGATTTCTGGTTTAAATGAAATCAACTTTAAAATTAGTAAGGATATCACATTTACCTTTTTATTTTCAACCCACTACATTCCTCCCCCCCACCTACCCCATGTCCTTTTTAATGGATATGTCCAAAATCGCAATGTTTCATTTGTAGGAACTCAGAAGTGTGTGGAGTTGTAAACATTCTTTGAACCCCTAATTCTATGAAAGGAAAGTGTCACAAGCCCCTTACACAACCAAACAGTCCTTTAGATGTTTTATATGACATTTGAAATTAAACTCTTAACCTATTGCATTCATTTTTTTAAATAATACATTGTTTTACATTTCTTTAAAGTTCTTCAAGAAACTACTCAGTAATGTGCTTATATTCTTATTTTATTTTCGTTTCCCTTTTCTTTTCTGTGCGCACTTGCACTCAGGTCACATTGTGTTGGATGCAGATACAGCACACGATTTGTTTGCCCTCAGCGTGGGAGTACTTCCCCCTTCTACCGTTCTGAATGTGACCTTGCGAACCAGTCGAGAGCTACATACCCTTCCAAGCGGAGCCGTGCGTGTGATCCTCAACTCCACACTCACACCCTTGGCCCCTGAGCCAGGGACTGCCAGCGAACAGGGGGAGGGTCTGTGTGACGACAGGTTGTGCTCATGGTGATTGTGCGTTCTGTGTATGGGGGCTTGGTTTCAACTTCTTGCACCAATCTCAGCTTGCAGTCTTTAAAATTGAATTGTAATGTGTACTGTACTTTCTGTCATTGTGGCCACGTACTAGTGGAGGTCTGTAGCTTTAAATCTGCTAGAACTGTGTGTTGATGCATGAACGTGCAACTCGTTTTGATTACGTGATTATGTTGTGGTGCAGGGTGCTGTGTGGTGTTGTTGGGGGCTCAATTGAGGTGAGTACTTTCCCACCTCTACTTAACACTAGGCTCAGTTTTAATATTATTTTTGCCCAGTGTTTATAATCTAACAATGTTTAAACCATGTTTTACAGCCCAACCAGTTGTTTTGGGGGTGTGAGTGGTGCTGGAGGAAACTCTTGGGTTCTTCTTCCTGATTCCTCACCCCAAATGCAGCCTCCAGGTCGCTCCAATTCCCTGTCTGCTGCTCTCACCGGGCCAGCCACCAATCCACAACATTACCAGTTCAGCTTTCGCCTGAAGGTCCAAGGTCCATGCCTGTTGGCAGGTAATAGCAGTATTTAGCAGTGTGGTGAGTATGTCCAGCACATACCTGTTTCCACTATAAAGAAAATGTATCTGGTATGCGTTCATACCAGCTAAATAAATAAATAAAACTAGAGAAATGAAAATGAGTTGGCTATATATTATCATAGTAATCTAGAATGAAAACTCATTTGTGTACTCATCCTTACTTTATATAACTTGGTGGTACTCTCTCCAACAGATGAGCAAGCAATGAATATTAACACACATCATGGTCTTTTATCCAGTTAGAATGTAGACATTTTTATAAGACTCCGTGTTCCATTTTGTAACCACTCTCATCTTCCCAGGCTTTCTGTTAATAATAATATTTGCCTTATCCTCTTTTCTCACAGGTATAGAGAGTCCGTCACATGCACTCCGAGCTGATGCAAGCCCATTTGCTGTCTCAGCCTCCTCAGTATGGATCAGTCTGGCCGAGGAATACAAGTGCGACAGAGCTGTAGAGATAATTCTGCACCCCAGTGGTAAGAGAACGGTTATGGGTAGCAGTGAGGGCAATACCAGATGGGTAACATTGGCTGTTGGAGAGGCAGTGATACTAAGTGATCACTTAGTTTACCAAAGATGAAGTTGAAATGTGATAAGACATGTATTGTAAATTTTCACACTGGACAAAAGTGGTAAGTGGTGTCCCTCAGGGTTCTGTTCTGGGACCGCTTCTATTTAACATATTTATAAATTGTCTTGAAATGGGCATTGAAAGTCATGTTTCAGTGTTTGCAGATGACACAAAGCTTTGTAAAGTAATAAAATGTGAGCAGGATATAGCTCTGCTGCAGAGGGATTTAGATAGTCTGGGGGACTGGGCACTCAAATGGCAGATGAAATTTCATATAGAAAAATGCAAAGTTGGGGAAAAGAATGCACAAGCAATTTATACCCTAAACGGTAGTCAATTAAGGATAACAACACATGAGAAGGATTTGGGAATTGTTATAGAAAATAAACTTGGCAACAATGTGCAATGTCAATCAGCAGTGGCTAAGGCCAGTAAGGTATTGTTATGTATGAAAAGGGGAATTCATTCTAATAAAAGGGAATGAAATAGTTTAGCTATGAAGAAAGGTTAACAGATTTAAACCTCTTAGTTTAGAAAAACTGCGTCTCAGAAGGGATATGATAACATATATACGAATATATCTGGGGCCAATACAAACCATTGTCTGGAAATCTGTTCACAAACCGAACTATACATAGGACATGAGGTCACGCGTTTAGACAGGAAGAAAGGAGATTTAATCTAAAGCAAAGAAAAATTGTTTTTTACAGTACGAACAATAAGGATGTGGAATTATCTTCCTGAAGAAGTCGTTTTATCAGACCCTCTGCTGACGTTTAAACAGCAACTAGATGCATACTTGCAAAAAAAGAATATTCAATTATATAATTTTTCAATGTAGGGTAATAGCTTCTTGATCCAAGAATCTTACTGCCATTCTGGGGTTAATAAGGAACTTTTTCCTAGTTTATTGCAAAATTGGAAGTGCTTCAACCTTTTTTTTTTTTTTTTTTTTGTCTTGGATCAACAGCAAAAAACAGATGTGCGAAAAGTTGATGAAACTTGGACACATCTCTTTTCAGCCTATGTAACTATTACAAGCTGCCTAGCATGTAGATAAATGCTAAATGATTTGTATCTCAATGTGCTGCAAAACAATGGATTGAAAAAAACCCCAAGGTAAACTGTTATTGTAAGTCAGATCTGAAGTTTTTTTTTTTTTTTTATATATATTAAAACAGTAAGGTTGCAGAATACAGAGGGTATTGGTGAGGGATGTGCATGGGCAAAAAAATTTGGTTTGGTTTGGCGTTCTGAAATTCGGCACTTCGGCGGTTTGGCTCTTCCGAAATTAAGGACTTTGGCAAATCAGGACTTCGGCACTTCTGAAATTAGGGACTTCGGGTAAGTGTAGGCTTAGGGTTGGGTTAGGGGTAGGGTTAGTGTTAGGAGTCGGGTTAGGTTTAGGTTAGGGGTTGGGTCAGGGACGTATTAGCCGCGAGGCAAACAAGGCATTTGCCTTGGGCGGCATTTTTCAGGGGGGCGGCAAAAAATGCTGCCCCCCAAATGCCCATGGCAAATGCCTAGTTAGCCTCGCGGCTAACAGACATGCCGAGCGGGCAGGCGGCGCTGGCTGCTGGGCAGGCGGCGCTGGCTGCTGTACGGGCGGCTGGCGAGGGAGCACTTCCTCTGAGTGGTCTGCTCAGCTCCCTCGCGCGCCGCAAAGTGAGGCTGGGATGACGTCACTCTGCGGCGCGCGAGGGAGCTGAGCAGACCGCTCAGAGGAAGTGCTCCCTCGCCAGCCGCCTGCACAGCAGCCAGCGCTGCCCAGCCCGACCGGCAGCCACTGGACCACCAGGGAGAGAGAGAGACTCCCCCCAGCACTCCCAAAGGTAAGGAGGTTGGGGGGGGGGTTTAAATGAAAAAAAAAAGTTAATGTGAGTGATTGTGTGTGTGTTTGTGTCTGACTGTGTGTGCGTGTGTGTCTGACTGTGTGTGTTTGTGTCTGACTGTGTGTGTGTGTGTCTGACTGTGTGTATGTGTTTGTGTCTGACTCTGTGTGTGTGTGTATTTAGGAGGTGGGGAGGGGGGGAAGGGTTGGGTGGGGGTTGCGCAGGGGGAGGGGGGCGCCTGAGTTTTGTCCTGCCTAGGGCAGCACAAAACCAGGATACACCACTGGGTTGGGTTAGGAGTAGGGTTAGGGTTGGGTTAGGATTAGGTTAGGGGTAGAGGTACCCTACGCCTAACCCTAACCATAGTTCTAACCCTACTCCTTACCCTAACCCTCCCCCAACCCCAATCCTACCCCTACCAGTTTTGCCACTTTTCAGAAGTCCGAAGCACTTCGCCAATTCGGTTCGGTTCGGCACTTTGGAAATTCGGCAATTTGACACTTCAGACACTCGGAGGCATCCGAATGTCCGAAATTCGACCAAATTTCCATTCGGACCGAACCAAATTGCACATGTCTAGTATTGGTACAGGCAGTGGTGTATCCTGGTTTTGTGCTGCCCTAGGCACACTCACTGACACACACTCACTCACATTAACACATATTTTTTTATTCACCACCCCCCCCCAACCTCCTTACCTTTGGGAGTGCTGGGGGGGGGGAGGGGTTCATTACCTCCCTGGTGGTCCAGTGGTTGCTGGGCTGGGCGGGCGGCTGGCGAGGGAGCTCTTCCCCTGAGCGGTCTGCTCAGCTCCCTCGCGCGCCGCAGAGTGAGGCTGGGAGCCGGAATATGACGTCATATTCCGGCTCCCAGCCTCACTCTGCGGCGTGCGAGGGAGCTGAGCAGACCGCTCAGGGGAAGAGCTCCCTCGCCAGCCGCCCGCACAGCCCGGCATGTCTATTAGCCGCGAGGCTAACAAGGCATTTGCCCTGGGCATTTGGGGGGCGGCGTTTTTTGCTGCCCCCTGGAAAATGCCGCCGAAGGCAAATGCCTTGTTTGCCTCGCGGCTAATACGCCCCTGGGTACAGGGATAGGTGAGAAGCCCATTTGGTATCAAACTGATCATAAGTTGTCGTGAATATTGTGCTTGGTGTGCCCATGTATAACATGAATTCAGCTGCAGATTATAGTGTAAAACTAAGATTTTGAGTTGTTTGTGGATTTAAATTACACTCAATATATCAACATATTTGGACTACACTGGGTAGTGTAATATAAACTTGCACATGCAGTCAGTTTTTGGGTGTGAGAAATGGACAGTCAGACAGACGCCTCCAGCAATGTTTCCATTGCAAAACTCCATTGTGGTGAGAGAGGCCTACTAATGTGGACACAATATTATGAATTGGGAGAGAGTATGCCAATTCACTTTCATATATTGGAACCACAACCTGTGTGAAAGGACCTAAAACAAAACAAACCAAAAAATCAATGCAGTCAGAGGCCTAGTCTGTGTCTGCTGAGAGGAAGGCAGAGTCTACAACCATGTTTATGAGATGTGTGAATGTCAATCTATATAATTCCATTGTCCAATGTGTCTCTGCCATGAATAAATACAATGTGATGACGGTGGATCACTACAGGCAAAAAGCAGGTTGGCTTGCAGCCCAAGATTAATGCTTAGAAGTTAGGTGGATCTTTTCCTTCTTGGGGAATAACCTCAGACAGTGATTCTATTTGCATATCAGCAAATATGGCTTAAACCGGAAAGTTTGTTAAATACTTGTATAAAACAGTGTTAATATTGCAAGCCAATTTTTCACCGTCTACAATGACTTGATAGTTTTATAAACTTGATTATATTGTAATTATTTTGCATCACATTTAAAGATATGCTCGCACATAATTTCAAGTGCAGCTTGTAATCTATGCATATATAATAAAATAATTGTCGTGATGATTTACAGCCAGCCTAAAGCTATTCGTACCCAGTCAAGTAGACATTTTAGCTTCCGATCAATGCTTTCTTCTGTCTTCTACATTCTTGGCAGAGAATTGTGATCTTATTGAAAGAGTTTTTGTGAGAGCTTGGCAGAGAATGGGATGCTCTGGGTAAAGAATTGCTCAACTATATCTGCTAAACATAACAATTAAAGTGGTTCAGTCAAGGCATTTATGGTGCCTTCCGTTTTGTATGTAATAATATAGGCAGCACATGTTTGTGTTTGGGCAGTAAGGTCCCTAGAGGATTAAACATTTTTGCAAAGCCCTAAATTAGATTTAGTTTGCTAAATTGTTCAGATCACTTTTTCCAGATTTTACATAATGGCCATTAAGACGTACTGTGTGGAATTAAGCGTTCCGGGATGTATTGTGTATTTGGCTTATGATGCAGAGCAAACTTGCTACAATCAATATGTCTGACTGTGTCTTCAGATTTTGGTTTTTCTTGACTCTGGATCACAAGTGCATTGCTCTGGTGCTGGTCTAGTTTAACGACTGATCAGAACTGTAGTAACAGGGAAGCTATCTAGAACACAGCAATAAAGTAAGACTAGTGTAGATCACCATGACGTCTGAAGTGACACAAATGTTTACTTTGGCTATGAAACCGTAAAGTGGACTAAATTATTTAAGGGAAATGTGCACTAATAAACCCCTTTGAGTGGGTTCTGCTAATATGCTTCTAATGCGTTGCAGAATATGTTGGAGCTATATAATTGCCAATCATAATGATAATTTGCATAGCAACACAGGTTTTCGTCCTGTGAATGCCATGTGTACCTTCAAATGTTTGTCTGATCTGACTAGGGACTTTTGTAAGGTTCTGTCTATTGTGATATGGCTTTGGAAAGCTGTTTTCCCTTTGTTTATCTGTCTGTCTTAGAACCACATCTCCCGCACTTGTCTCTTGAGCGAGGAGCCAAAACCTTCTTGCAGTATGAGATGCAGATCAAGCAGAGAAAAGACTTTATCCGTGCAATCAAGAAATCCAGTGACCCTGAGAAACAAGTAAGGAGACTGGTATAACACTCGTGGGGACAATGAAATGGGTGAATGCATTTAGTGTGATATTATAGAACAGTGGGGCAGTGACAGGATTAGAAGTTTATGTGACACGACCAAGAAATGGTCAAACGTCTCTATTGTAAGCTCATTTGAGCAGGGTCCTCAATGACCTCCTATTCCTTTTGTAATAGTTTTGTCTCGTTTGTTGTTAAATCCCCCCTCTATATTGTAAAACGCTATAGAATATGTTGCCGCAATATAAATTCCAATAACAATAATGTTTTATCTCCATGTCTAGGTTAACTTTGTGCGAAGACGTTTCCACAAGGATCTCCACCTCACTCCAGTCCTGATGCTGAACTTCTGTCCTGACTTATCTGCCCTCAGTTCCTTGAGCTCTGACCTCCCTAATGTGACTCGGGAGGTCATATTCCTTTTGCATCATTTAGAAGAGCCCTCCCGCAATTTTCGGGTAAGAGCTGGCACCATACCCTACTCAACATTTACACAACATGCGGTTTTGTTCACGCAACTTAAACTGTGAGAGATATGTTAAAATAAACGGAATATTGACAACTTTAATTTTGACAATAATCAAACCCAGGGCCGGTGCAAGGATTTTTGCTACCTTAAGCAAACAAAAATTTGCTTCTGCCCCCCATGTGACATTACATTGGCCCACCCATATGATCTGCCATATGGGCCAATGCCAGTTCTGCACAAAGTGTCTTTTAGCTGAAAAGGCAGTGTGTTTACATTTTTACATTAAAAAGCCTGCAGGGACAGGTTATAGACACCAGAACATTAAGCCGCAGTGGTTCTGGTGACGATAGTAGCCCTTTAATATGAGGTAAATTAGAGACTAGTGTCACTTATAATATATTGGATTGCCTACTTACCACCAGATGAGGACAAGAGGATGATGATGGGCTCAGGCTGCAGTCTGGCTCCACATGTCTGGTGTAGAAGAAGCTCTCTGGAGCTGTAACAGTGCTCACAACAATTAACAAACAGGAAGCAGCTCCATTTTTGGGGCCCCTTACACAGCTTAAGGTCTGACCGTGAGTATGCCTACAAGGCCCGCCCATAAGTCCACCTACATGGCCCACCCATGACTTCTCTCACAGGGAGTGGAGTGTATGTGTGTAGGGGATATGTTATGTGTGATTGTAGAGGATGTAATGTGTGTGTTCTAATGGAATGTAGTGTATAGGGATACCAATTTGTATAGGGGATGCAGTCTGTGTTTGTGTGTAAGGAATGCATTGTGTGTTTGTGTTTGTGTGTGTAAGGAATGCAAGGTGTGTTTTTGTGTATGTAATTTAATGCAGTGTGTGTATGTAAGGGGTGCATTGAGTGTGTGTAAGATGCATTTTGTTTGTGTGTGTGCGTAAGGGAAGCAGTGTATGTGTGTGCGTAAGGGATGCATTGTGTGTGTGTGTGTATAAGGGATTTTTTTTTTTTAATAGTGCTCTCTCCTCCCCTCCTGAACCCTTAGTGCTCTCTCCTCCCCTCCTGACCCTTAGTGGTCTCCCTTGGCCCCCTGTCCCTTAGTGATATTCCCTTCCCTCCAGTCCATTAGTGATCTCCCCACCCGGCCTGTCCTTTAGTGATCTCCCCTACCCCTCCATCCTTTGATCTCTCCCCTGCCCCTGCGTGGTCTCTTCCCAGTTCCTCAGTTTACTCTCCCCTCCCTGTCACTTGGTGGTCTCCCCCCTCTTAGTGGTCCTCTCCAGTCCCCCCTTCGTGGTTCTCTCTCTCCCCAATTCCCCTCCCAACCTTAAGACCCATACTGGTCCTCCCTCTCTTAGTGGTCCTCCTCCCCAACCCCTTAGTGGTCCTCCCCCCTAAATGGTCATCCCTCTCCCCCTCCCCTTAGTGGTCCTCCCTCCCCCCTCTAGTGGTCCTCTCCAGTCCCCATCCCCCGTTAGTGGTCCTCCCTCTCCCAAACCCCTTGGTGGTGGTCTTCTCACCCCCACACCCCTCCTTAGCGGTCCTCCCTCCCCCCTTAGTGGTCCTCACTCCCTGTTGTGCCTCCTACTTATGTAGCGTGGCTGGGCGGCTCAGATCGCGGTACAGAAACTTCTGTTTCCCTGATCCCAGGGGAACTATATATTGTGGGGATATTTATGGGATAATAATAGTAACAGTGAGAATTGCCCAGTAATTCAATTCTCAGACCCAAAGATCGTTATCGTGTTAAGTGAGAAGTATTTCATATAAATAATATTCACAATTTTTGTTATAAAAATAGATTTATTTATAATAACAAGTTAATTAATAATAATAATATGTAACATGCATGACAATAATCAATGAATATCCAGTATAAAATGGTATGCAATACAAAGAAATGGCTACACACGTCTCAACGGCTAAAACAGCATTATCTGTCAAGTCTTCTGATTTATGAGGTATCTTTAACACAGACTGAAAGGAAAACTTTTCACAGCGAAGGGCCATAAAACCCTGGCTAACAGTTAGAATAACCCTTTCAATGCTGGCTAGATCTCCTAAGTAGTTAAGATCTATTCTTATGTCATTTTAAATAAAATAACATTTAAACCAGTTCATTAGTCATTTCCTGGAACCATCCAATAAGAGAATCTACCATATTATATAAGCAGATTTTAATTTGTCTAAAAGATATCTTATCTTAAATTAGAGCAAATCAATACACCTGGATAAAAACAACGGTATGCTACCACGTGATACTATCACATTAATATATATATAATTATTCTTAATTCCACCTGCAGAATGGAATGTTTATAACTATATATTCTTTAGTTAACTAGGATTTCTTAATATGGAAATCTGACCGTGCTTTATCCAGTCATATATAATGCTATTAATACATTTTAATTAATTTAATTTAATTAAATGAAACCAGTATAATTACCAGTTGAGTAGATATTTCATCCGATTGGTAGATAGTCTCAGGAACTTATTTGGATGTCTGTAGGTGCATGAGTTATGGTGAAAGGTGGTGTTGGTTAGAAAGTCAGTGAAATTCTAAGTGTTAGAGTTTTAAGTGTAGAGTGTTAGTCTCAGATGTTGTCCTGGGTTTCTCTGCATGTCCGAGTTGGAGTCCCCAAACTTCCAATTCCTCTCTCCTCTTTTTCTTTCTTTGCCTCCTTTTCCTTTCCTTTGTCTTAACTTTTAAAGGGCCAGACTCTCTGCACGTCATCAGTTAATAACCCAATAGAAGTACTAGAGGTGTGGTTATCTTCCAGATCGCAATTTAGTTATTTGGTCTATAGAGGGCAGTCTTGTCCCACTAAACATACCTATCCAGGAAAGAGTTAACTTTTCCTGGTGGCTATTTTGACGTCATTTTGGCCTATCTAGATAGTGGCCATAACTTACGTATCCTTCACAGATCAAAGGGTTTCTTTAAGTTTTGTCCAGACTATGTGTCTGGCAAATCCTGCTATAATTTCTAAAATGGCAGATCATGAACTAAGTTTAACCTTAAACTTACAATGGGACCTTATACATATATAGACAGTCTATTTTATTATTTAATCTTCTCTGTCACAATTGTCTGGGTTTAGATTTGATCTATTCCATTAGCATTAGACAGTCTATCCAACCCCCCTTTTTCTTATCACTTGTTTATACTATGCATTCCTTTAGCTCGGGCAAAAATGGTTAGTTTTACAGATAGAAATCTTGTGTCTTTTTGTTAACTTGGAAATAACAAAATGGAGTCTGCTCTGTTCAGAGTGACTCAGAATATACACTTTTAATTTCTATCATAGCACAAGATGTCTGCCGATATAAATACCCTGACAATATTTAAATATTCAATTCACTTCTGCCTAAATCATTCCTTGTGTACAGATTCCTTCATTCAATCAGTTAAGCAAACTTGAACCACCAAACAGAACGTACAATGGATTTTTTGTCTCTTCCAATATTTATGGAAATATAATACATCATTAAACCCATAACACAACACTAGAGGAGGGACTCTGGGTTAACTGGCTACTAGCCACGATAATTCCATATACCTGACACATGCACAGCAAAATAACACTCCCCCTGAAAGGCATCTCGGGAAACTCACACTCCCTGTTCCCACTGACATACGCAACATAATAAATAACCCCCATCGCACGTTACTCTCGAACCACTACATCCCGACGTCATGTAGGCCAGCCAGGGAAACAAACCCAAACTTAGATGAATCATACGAGATGCGGGGGACAATACCCCAAGGAGGAAGGGAGATTCCTCACCACAGCGGCCCCAAAGATAACCCTCCTTGGCTCTATCACATTACGTGATACGAACGCACCGAGGACCAGAACACACATATGGAAGACCACACAACAGGGGGGGAAACTTGACGCAATATAATTTCACTTTCGATAACCCACACTATCGTCTCCCGACTCCACTTGTACCAAATGTTCCACTCGAAATTAACATACTACCCCTACTTAGGCAATGACCCTTTTATCCTATCACACACCCCAATACATCTCACCACACTCTTGCACTTACCAACAAACCTTAATAAAGCTTAACGCCTTTATATGTGCAACCTCAAGGCACTGACGGACGCTAATACATCCACACTTGATCTCACTTATGAAAAGCCCAAGCGGATATATATACAGTTTCAAACCGAAACAACATGGCAATTTATGTTAAGAAACTCCGCTACAATCGAATATTGATACTCGCTGTATACCAAACCTGATTGTAAATTCCATTTAGACATATACCGTACTAACAATATGTACATAGTTTGTATTATTACTGTCATGGGCCTGTGAGCCTCAAACGTCTTCTGTTCTCACTTCAATAAAAACTGATTAACCAAAAAAAGAAATATAATACATCATTGAATAAACGTAAACTCATAATATTGTGAAGCGCTACGGAATATGTTGGCGCTATATAAATAATAATAATAAAATTATAAGCAGTAAGAAAAAGTCATACAAATATAAATGTATAAATATTTACTTACTCCATACATGTCTTATAATTAATAATTGTATTGCCTGTTATATTTAAATAATTTTTATGCAAATGTTATTGTTTAAAGTATACCACCTATTTTCTAATCATTTTATAAAGTGCTAAGCCAGTGATAAAGTAACATCTGACTCTTATGGAACATGTTTCTATATGCAATATCTTACTTGGCTCTCAGTTTCTTCAACTGTTTTCCTTTTTAGTCTGTTTGTTTGCATATTTTTTTCCTTCGTTTAGGATTAAACATTTCTGATGGAATGCTTCAGATATATTAACCATCCTTTCTGCATTGCAATATGATTTCCATTCTTTAGTGGTTTATAGGAAGAGCCTTCAAAGTGATTAAAATATGGTGCCTGACTTTTAACACACGCATCCTTAAAATAAAGGGCAAAAAATAGACAAAAATTAAACCGTGTATTCATACAACCTATATTAATCATAAATCATAAGATCATAAAATGTATACTTCAATTTTATATAGCTTGTCCTTTTTCAGTTTTCCAAAAACAACAAAAAAACACCACCATAAAAAGTAGTTGGTTATATTCATTATTTAAAAGGTTACTTTAAACATTCAGCATTTTAAAGTGGTTGTGGTGCAAGGAGCCTGTATGTGCATCATTTCAATATGAAGTACATGCAGAGATATTTAGGCTTGTTGCTTGAGGTCTAACTCTCTACTTCTGGAAGCATCATTAACCAACTGAGAATGAGAGTTCCGGGTTGACTATTGGTGATTCTGTGCACATTCTGTGTACAGTGATTCATTGGCTGGGAATACACACAGCTGATGGTCTATGCCAATGAATGGATGGCAGGATTGGCATTGCAGAAAGCGAATGTGATTCAGCCAACATGTTAGGAGGCTTGGTGCACGGCAATAACTATGGAAGAAGCAAACTGTTAGAAAATAAACCCACATATAAATAGAATAAAAACATGTAATATATGAATATACTCTAATGCTTTCCAGAATCTTGATTCCACTGATTCTGGATTGTATAATATGGATGTGGATCATTCACTGATACTGTTAAAGAGATATAGAACATAAGAATGATGCTTGAAAAATACTGCAAGTCTTTCTGACACAAGTGTTGACCAATTGTCTATTTTCCTCCTTTTACTTTTTCACTTGAATGTGTTGCAGGATGCTATTCTGCTGGCAGTGAGGAGTTTACCTGCACGCACTTTACTGAATGTAGCAGGTGGCATGTTTGACAGCAAGACCTTGTTCCCCACCAGCAGGCAATGCAGCAACGTGAGTGAGGGGGGCTGCAAGGGATTCTGGGTACTCTGTACTACTGCCTGCAAAGAATACTGGGAGCTTGGTGAGAATTTGCAGTACCAATCACACGGCACTTTAGTCTACTCTTTCCTTACTCTTTCCTTACTTTATCCTATTTTCCATTAACCTCTTGCGCTTTTCTCCATCTTAGATCTGCTTTGTCTATCTTATTTAATTAAAGTTAGGCTTATGTAAATTAAGTCTTGGAATTCACATTAGAGCTCTCCCCCCTATGTATATTGCCCTGTTTAGCCTTGCTGTTGGAAGCGAGCTTATTAAATGTGACGAACATGACTGAGAGTTTCTTATTTAATAGGAGTCCCTGGACATGGCATGTGATTACATACAGAGGGGCAGTTTGTATGGCACCGCCAGTAATCTGTATTCCGTGTTAAGTCGGATCCTGGCACTCCCGGTGCATCGTGGGTACCCACGACAACTCTTCCTTTTTATGGACCATACTGCCAGTTGTCCTGGCAAAATCATTGAGCTGCTAAGACGGCATGTAAAGACCACGAGGTAAGAGTGTTCTGAACAGTTTGTCTATATGGGGATAGATACTGGATACAGTGCCATCTTAGCAACATTATGGGCCCTGGGCAAAGCACTACACTGGGGCTCTGCCTACACACAACTCACTGGAATACAATTTTTAATTCTAGATACAATTAAGCTTTTATTTATTAGTACCTCTAACAAATGCAATACATACACACAGACTGCTGAAAACATTCACATACCGACTGCTGAAAACATTCACATACCGACTGCTGAATACACTCACACACACACCGACTGCTGAATACACACACTCAGATTGCTCAATACATACACACAGTCCACTGAATACACACACACACACACACACAGACTGCTGAATGTACACACACACTGCTGAATACACACACACACAAACACACACAGAATGCTTGGTTGTATAGGGAGATGTATTAGCAGTAGAAAGAGGGAAGTGCTCATGCCATTGTATAGAACACTGGTGAGACCTCACTTGGAGTTTTGTACGCAGTACTGGGACTGTATCTCCAGAAAGATATGGATACTTTAGAGAGAGTTCAGAGAAGGGTTACTAAACTGGCTCATGGATTACAGGATAAAACTTACAAGGAAAGGTTAAAAGATCTTAACATGTATAGCTTGGAGAAAAGACGAGACAGCAGTCCCCCTGCTGGTGAAAAAGTAAAAACACAAAGTAAAAAAAAAAAGTTAGAATAAAGTTCATAAATTAACAAAAAAATAAATGTGTATGTGTGTGTGTGTGTATATATTTATATATATATATATATATATATATATAATCTTCTATAACGTCATACTAAGTGTATTTTTTTTATTAATATATACATATATTAATATCAAAATTCACTTAGAATTAAATTATATATATATATATATATCTATGTATATCCCCTTAACGACCATGGATGTACTAGGTACATCCGACAAAAAACGGTCATAAGACCGTGGACTTAACTAGTATGTCCGTGGCAAATAGGAGCCCTGGACTTACCTGGACCGGCTATCCGCGCCAATCACGTTTGGGGGGGTTGCCGGAGACCCCAGCAGCAGCTCCGGCCACCCCGGCCCTCCAGGACCATGTGATCACCATGATCACATCGCCGCAATAGGACTCTAGGAGCTGCCAGCAGGGGGACTGTCTGAGCTATATGTATAATATAATATAATATGTATGTATAATATATCATAAAATTCTTTAATTATAATATATTATACATATATAGAAAATAAGTGTGTGTGTGTGTATGTATGTATGTTTACATTAAAAGGCCTGCAGGTACAGGCTATAGACACCAGAACCACTACATTAAGCTGCAGTGGTTCTGGGGACTATAGTGTCCCTTTAATGTGAGGTAAATTAGAGATTAGCGCCACGAATAATATGCTAGATTGTCTACTTACAACCAGATGAGGATGATGATGGGCTCTAGCTGCAGTCTGGCTCCACTGGTCTGGTGTAGAACAGGCTCTCTGGAGGCTGTTTGTAACTGTGGTCACAAAATCAATGTTCTGGGAGAACGGGAAGCAGCTCCATTTTTTGGGGGGCCCTTTACACAGCTCAAGGTCTGGGTCCCAGGGTCCACCAATGAGTTTGTTCACAGGGGGTGGAGTGTGTAGGGGATGTCCTGATATGTGTGTAAGGAATGCATTGTGTGAATCTGTGTTTGTATGTGTAAGGGCTGCAAGGTGTGTTTCTGTGTATGTACGGGATGCAGTGTGTGTGTCTGTAAGGGGTGCATTGAGTGTATGTACGGGTTGCATTTAGTGTGTGTAAGGAATGCATTGTGTGTTTCTGTGTGTGTAAGGTTTGCATGATTGTGCGATTGTGTGTGTGTGATGGATGTCAATCTCTCTCCCTCCCTTGTCACTCTCTCCCCCTCCCTCCCTTGTCACTCTCTTTCTCCCCTCCCTCCCTCCCTCGTCACTCTCTTTTTTTTCCCCCTCCCTCCCTTGTCACTCTTTTTCCCCCTCCCTCCCTTGTCACTCTCTTTCTCCCCCTCCCTCCCTTGTCACTCTCTTTCTCCCCCTCCCTCCCTTTTCACTCTCTTTCCCCCCTTGTCACTCTCTTTCTCCCTCTCCCTCCTCCCTTGTCACTCTCTTTCTCCCCCTCCCCCCCTACCTCTTGTTGTAGCGTCGCCGAGCGCTGCATCATGGTCCGCGGGTACAGGTAGCTTTTGTATCCTGTACCCGCCGGACTAAAAGGAAGTGAATACTCAGTGTGCACTTCCTGTTAGTTCGGCCGGGTACAGGAGACAGATACTACCTGTACCCTTGGACCATGATACAGGGCTCGGCCACGCTACAGAGAGGGAGTGACAAGAGGGAGCGCTGAGCACTGCCCTCCTGTCAGCCCCTCTCCTCATGCTGCGCCCGGGCGGGCAAAGCTGCAGCCGCCTGAGGCTCTCTACAGAGTGCTCGGGCGGCTGCAGCATGAGGGGGACCGGCAGCGCTCGGGGGATTTCCCCATAACCTGTCCCCCCCGCATGATTTGCTGGGGGGGATGCGTCCCCCCTGGTTCCTACACCCATAGCAGTGGGGTCCCCATGCCTGTGGGCCCCTGGGCAACTGCCCAGCGTGCCCATGCAAAAAGACGGTCCTGACTCTATGTACATGTTCTATATGCAGTTGCCTATTGTCTGAAGCTGAAATGCATATGCCGCAGGACAATAGTAATATTATTACTTTTAAACATAGTAAAACACTTGCTGTTTCCTGGTATCTCTTTGGCCAGTACTGTTTTTGTTTGTTTGTTTGTTTGTTTTTGTCCATAAAATAATTATACTGATGAAATGGTTTTATATACCTCTTTGTCAATTGTAGGGTGTTTGGTATTGGTCTTGGCTCCACTGCAGATCACCGACTTCTTCAGAAAGCTGCCGGTGTAAGCAGGGGGACAGTAGAAATGATCAGTGAAGGGGAGAGACTGCAACCCAAAGTGAGCTTATTGTCCTATATCTATCCCTTCAATCTGTATTGAATATACTGTTGACAACTTTGCTGGATTGATTCCGCAAACTGATATGGTGTGTTGCTCCATCTAGCTAATTAAGTCCCTTAAAAAGGCGCTGGAACCGGCCCTGAGTGACATCACGATAGATTGGTACATGCCAGACACCATGGAGGCACTGTTAACTCCCCATGATATTGCTTCACTCTACCCTGGGGATTCTCTTATTGGCTACTGTGCTCTGTATCATACAGCCAGCTTTCGTTGCTCAAGGATTATGGTGAGAATGTTAAAAAAAAAAAAAAAAGAATAATAAATCATGGTTACCACTCTGCATTCATTTTTTTTTGTAACCACTGCATTGACAAATCATTTCTGTTTCAGGGCCAGAGGCCCAGGGGTGGCTCATTCAGCTCTGTATTCCAATCTCAGGATGATTCAAAGAGTACTGGGGTCACTGAAACAAGTTGCTCAAATCCCTCGACAGATGATGTAGGACGTGCACTTCAGGAAATATCTCAGGAGATCTCAATGGAATTCTCAGCATGTGCAGAAGACGCAGAGAGAAGTAAGAACAAGTTTGTATCCTTAGTTGAGTAATAAAACCTATGCAAAGGTATTGAGTTTCCTTCAAAATACATGAATCCAAGGTGAACTGAGAGATCACAGATATAGGACTACATTTAAAGCAATAAAAACAGTAGTTCCTCTACTGTTATTCTATAGGATCTTGCTGTGTGAGGTATGTTAATAATGTTCAGTAAGCAAATATTCATCAGCACTCAAATGGCTTCAAAGAGTTGTCAGGAACCATTGATTCGGCAAAGTCTCTTTTATGATAGACTGCCTTAGTCATGCTATTAAACCTTAAATGTGTACTATTCATGCACCCTCCTTTCCTTCATCGGAAAACATACTGTGAGTGTGATGACATCTACTTTGTTTAAAAATCTGCTCTTCTGTTTGTTCCTCAGGTGGTGAGGGAGTTCCATTAAGTGATATTAGAAAGCGAATTGTTCAGTCATCCTACGTGCAAGACCAATATATTCTCACTCACTGCTCTGTGAGTACTGATCCAACTCAGGCACAGGTGCCACCATCGGTTTGCAGTGATCCCACTCAAGTTCCCACCTATGGATCAACCAGCAGTGAGTCGGTTGGGTCCCGAGATGCTGCGTTTGAGGAGTGCACCACCCCTTGCCCTGCCTTTGACTCTCAGCAGGCACAGAAAAGTATATCACAAAGTGAAGGGGCACAAGGCCCAAAGAAGAACTCCTCCTCTTCCTGTAAGGTGAGACGGCAGTCTTTCAGTCTTCATTATAACAAGACATTGTGAACCTTCTCTTAAAAAAAAAAAAAAATATATATAATTACATGATGGTTTTATTGATCATTGATGCACACACTGGCTGCAATACTTCTAAACTGACTAATTTTTTTTTCCTCAGCCCTCCCTTACACATAGTTCAGAGGAGCTAGTCAGACGAAAAGCCCTGATTAAATCAACTATGTCTGGCCGGAGTTTCTCTTCCCCTCATGGAGAGTTGGACATGATGCGACTACGCAATGTCTTTGATAAGGTGTCTCAGAACCGAAATCCTGATATGGATGTGAGAAACTCTCGTGGGGAGAGCCTTGCTGACTCATGTAAGGGACACCTTTGTGGAAGAATAACGTCTAGTTGTAAGCGTGCAGCAGAAAGGGTTTATTAGGAACCTCGGTTCTAGATCTGAAGGAATTAAGATGTATGAAAAGGACATTGTTACGTAGCCACTAAAACTCGTTAAAAGCTACTGCAAAATCCTCCCTTAGTACAATCAGACTATATTGCATTTTGTATTTGAAGTGCCACAGAGTAGGAGGTGGTTTCTGGACGCCGAGAACAGATTTATTTTTAGAGAAACTGCAATGTTTATGTTGAGGCACTAAGACAGCCTTTTGTGTGGATCTTCAGCATCATTTTTTATGAACATGATTCTGCATTGTATAAATTGGTTTAATGAATTTCCAAAACTGTTACACATTTGGATTCAAGTTTTGTAATGATGCCAATATTTACACTTTTGTTCTATGTTGAGAGCATTGGCTGTGTTTCATTCTTATTTGTATTAAGTAGTTCCGTTTTGGATGGAATTGGACAGAAAAAAACCATTAGCTTTACATAAAATTATTTGCTATATCTGATCAGAAGGATTTGACTTCTTAAACTTACAAGAAAGGGGTGCTGTAACCTACGAAATAAATTTCAAACGAAGATAAATATACGGTACCTCAAAATACTTGATAGGGAAGTGTAATGGATACTGATTTGCACATTGCTTGTGTATTTTTTATTTAACAAAGTCTCTCTCTCTCTCTCTCTCTCTCTCTCTCTGGGTACATTGCAGGTCAGATTCTCTCTCCTTCCAACCTGGATTGGGACATGTTGGTTGATGCGCAGTACCTTTTCTCTGCATCTCCTCGTGTAGAAGGAGGGAGTGCAGGATCCAGGGCAAGCAGTAGTTCTGTGTGGCAATGCCGGGCTGTGATTCGTGGTTTTGTAGGGGGTAGAAGCCTCTCTTGGGAGACTTCAGTTAGCCTGGAGTCCCTTCTTAACTATACAACTGAAGAGACTACTGCCAACCTTGAGGAAGAGGTGGACTGTGACCTACATCACTTGGCTGCACGCTCTGTCATCGAGGACAATGAGGACATGGCTTGGAGAGAATGTGATATTGAACATGGTGAGATAGGGTTTAATGGAGTTCACACACACAAAATAAAATTTACTGCATTCTTGTATATGATCATTACAATAGGACATAAATAAAATTCTCTTTCAGGTTCCCCTCGTAGATTTCGCTTGAAAGCTGTTCAAACTAGTAAATCTTGCTCACAGATCTCCAGATTTACTTTCCACGTTCCTATTGACCCCAGTACTCAGGATAATCTACCAGGGCAAATAACAGTGTGCAAAGGTATGAGGGATGCTATGCTCTGCAATTTGGTTTTGTAGGGAAATCAGATTAAGTGTTACAATATTGACATGACCACCATGGGTGAGGGAGAGTTTTTGAATATCCATTGGCACACAGGCTGTATCTATGGAGAGATTCAATCTTGTAATCATATTTAAATCCCCATGTATTATGACTAGTCTGTACTCAATGAATAAAAACAAATAAAACACTGTTTAGTAGATATATCCCCAAAGAAACAAAATGCATAATTAAATGCATGCATGTGTTCTTTGAGGGTATATAAAAACAAATGCATGTAAAAGCTGCAGTTCTTGTTTGCTGCCTTTGCAAGCCCCCTCCTCCATCACCACCCAGACGTTCTGTGTCTGTCCAATCACAAACCTCCCGATGCAGCTGAGTTAGAAGTCTTTGCAAGGCAGGTGCCCTGGGAAATTGCCTGCCAGAGTTTAGCTCGACTGAGCTAAACAACCAGGAAGTAACAGTTCCGGTTGTCTGACAGCCAGGGCTGTGTAACAAGGTTAATTGCACTTTTTGTAAAAGGAAAAGAGGACTCAAAGAGCTGAAGTGGTCCTTTTAAGCAGTAATGACTTTTAATAAATGTATCTTGTGCTGTAGTCTCTTAATGATACATGATGTCAAGCTATAGCTTTTCTTTGGTGTGGGATTACTTAAAAAATAAAAATAAAATTTTATTAACAAATTTAAAAGTTGTCACATGATTGTTTTTCCCCCCAGGGCATGACACCCTGTGCACATGCTAAGATTACCTGTAACAGTGCTCCTCAAGGTACACCTAACAGTCCAGTAGTTAGGGATTACCTGGGTGTGTCAATGGTGTTTAGAAAAAGAAAAAACACCTTAGAGTCCAAGGTGTTTTTAATTATTTTTAAAAACACTTTAGACAGATAATCCCTAAATCCTGGAGCGTTAGGTGTGCCTTGAGGAGCACTGACCTGCAGAATAGAAGGTATGGTGGTGGAGGGCCACAGATTCTGATGCAGAAAAATTATGTGACAAACATTTTATATTTACTAAAATGAGAATTCAAATGCATTTTAAAGTTAAGGCAAGAAGAGCTGACATTAAAGCATAGCCTATTCAGGAAATGGTTCCAGTTTGACTATTTTGACTTTAAATTTGAATTCTCATTTTAGTGAATAACCATACAAATCTTCTCTTTCTGTATGTGACAGGTGGACGCAGTAAACGAGGCCTAAGGTCAAACTCAGGAAGTTTTGGTCAAGGGGACAGTAGGCGTTCAGAAATATTTGAAACTACAGGTAAATTATGACGTTCGGGCTCTTCATCCATTAGAGACCTATTTCCACTTAATGTAGAAACACTATATATATTTTATTTCTTACACAAATAAATATTTACTGCAGACAATCACATGCTTAAAGGACCACTCTAGGCACCCAGACCACTTCAGCTTAATGAAGTGGTCTGGGTGCCAGGTCCAGCTAGGGTTAACCCATTTTTTCATAAACATAGCAGTTTCAGAGAAACTGCTATGTTTATGAATGGGTTAAGCCTTCCCCCTAATCCTCTAGTGGCTGTCTCATTGACTGCCACTAGAGGCGCTTGCGTGCTTCTCACTGTGATTTTCACAGTGAGAGCACGCCAGCGTCCATAGGAAAGCATTATGAATGCTTTCCTATGTGACCGGCTGAATGCGCGCGCAGCTCTTGCCGCGCGTGCGCATTCAGCCCAGGAGGAGGAACGGAGGAGGAGAGGGTGGGGGCACCCTCAGGACACTATAGTGCCAGGAAAAAGAGTGTTTTCCTGGCACTATAGTGGTCCTTTAAGGAGATTTCCTAGGTTTATCTAAATCACACTACAAACTCCCAGTCAATAGCTATAGCCTGTCCTAAAATGCTAATATTCGGGGTGGAGCCTGTCAACCGAGCATTGCCTGTGCTCTTCTGCTGGGACCACCAAAAAAAAAAAAAAAAAAAAAGTATTCTCCGGAGTTGCTACTCACCGCTAGTGGCAACCATCTTGACAAGGAGGAACCGGCAGATCGTGGGATACCAAACTTGGGCCCCTCCAACGCCAGAAAGCCTGCATCGAGGCTTGCGGCCTACCTCAGCAGGGACTGTGGAGAGATGGCTGCTCTCCAAGCACTTGACCGGGCAGAGTGCAGCACATACAGAGCTACCCCCCTCCACTGGACAGGTGGGGGTCATCCTGGTCCCCCCCCCTTGACTTACCCCATGTATTTCTGCTGACTACGAGCTGCTGAAATTGCACAGCAACGTGTTGCAGGCTCTCTTAAGATGGCAGACACTCCAGCGCTATACGTGTCTAACTCAACACTGCCCATGACACCCATCCAAGATGCATTTGAGCGACTGCTTACTAATGTGGACAAGCTCTTTGAAAGCTTCCTTGCCAAGCTGTCAGCAAGCACTAAAGTGTCCCAGCTCAGAACCAGGAGAGAGAACATGGTCAAAGCCGAGAGGAGGTGAGCGGGCCCTCTCTGGGCATAACCCTTCCACGAGCAACAAACCCCTCTGCAGTTGCCACGCCTGGCCCCAGGGGATACAATCCATCTGCATCTACCACAGTGGCTGGGGACCCATCCCCACCAGGGAAAGACTTGGCCTCATGCCAGAGCCCGCTAGTCTGTGGCCCCATGATGCCGACATTCACAATGGCCCAGGGCTTGAGGGAGGATGGGCACAGCCCCTGCCTTGCTGCCGACTACTCAGACCATCACAAACTCCGGTCCAGGATATAGGTTGACGGCGGACTTCCAGGCACGTTGGCATGTTTTTCAGCCACAATCTGCGGAGACCTGTTCATAGAGAGATATGTTTATGTGCTTCTTACTGCTGCTTTCACTAATTAATCTGTAATGCAGCTAACACCAGTGAGTTTAGTTTTGGGGGCAACTCTTATACCATTTTTACTATAGCACACTGACCCTATGTTGATAACTCTTTTTCTTTAATGGTATGCACAGCTCTTCATTAAGCTTGCTTGACATAACCTTACACAAGAGCATGTCACTAATTTCTTAAGCACAATAGCATCTCATACTACGACCACTCATATAGTCAGTTTGTGTAACTTGTACCTAAAAATATTTTTGATCTCTCACCACTGACATACCTATAATGCATATTACATTGTTGTGTACCTTACCTGAATCTAGTAACTAAAAAAAATTGTGCCATTAGCTTATGCCATGACACGGTTTACTCTGTATTTTCTCATTAGCTTGAACCTGCTACTGTGGCAACTCAAGCTTATTTGTAACTCTAAGCACTGTACAAATAAAGATTGACAATATTGTTAATCTTACTCTGCTGGCCACATCTGGTTAACCTATAACCTTATTTATTACTGGTATTTATAAAGTGTCAGATTCCGCAGTTCCATTTATAACTTTTCATCCATACATACTGTTACAGGTGAAGCTCCTTCCTTCCCACATTCTTTGGCTTCAGACACAAACTTAGAAAGGCAGCAATGCAAAGAAGGTGAGTGTTACATGCCACTGTATCTTGGGTCTGTGTAAATGTATCAACACATTCAGAATGGAGGAGGGGAAAGAAGATAAAACCAAGTTACACCTACAGAATTGTCAGGCATTCAAAGTATTTTTCAAATTTAAGGCCAAAGTAATCAAATTCAAAGCATAGCTGACTTGTAGAATTTTTCTAATTTGTCCTTAAATTTAAAATAATGACATATCGCTAGTTCTCACTTTGGCGAATAACCTTGCTAATATCCGTAACACACTAACTTTGTATTGCAGGTCAAATTCTTAATGTTTCTGGCTCACAAAAATCTTCAGATGCATCACTGAGCTCAAGGTAAGACATTTTCCATCTACATATTTTTATTGAATGGTGGTGATATGTTCTCAGACATAATTTTCTTCCAGGATCAGCCTTGGTAAAAGAAGGATCCGTAGCATATCTGGAAAATTACCTCCTCTGAAGCCACCATGTATTAGTGGAGACAAGGAGAGTTGCTCAGATCATGGTATCCAAGACTACCTCCCTTTGGTGAGAGATGTATTCATTCATGTGCTATAGACTACTTTGTTCTACATATTATTCTTTGTTATGCCCCCAACCTTTATTTTCTCCTCAGATAAGTTTGCAATACCCAGAAGGATATTTCACGCTAAACAATAGCTTTTCCAGTATGGTTCAGATATCTCTCCAGCGACTCCTTCGTGCCTCACCCTACAGCTGTCATCGTGGTAGCCTAAGTCCAGTGTCTGAGCCATTGCCCCAGGACCAATCAGAAGTTTTTAGAGGTGGAGCACAGACTTACAAAAGGGGTTCCCAACCACAAGTTCCAGTTACCCAAGACTCCCCTTTCCTTCCTATACTTACAACATCATGTCCCGAAGCGCTGTGTCATCAGGCAGATAGTGGACGTGGGTCAGAGACTGACCCATGTGACACTTCCCCATGTCCTTCTGAAGCTGGCACTGAGCAGGATATGGATCTAGAAGGATGTTCTTGGGCCACGGCTGTTGCTCTTGCATGGCTAGAGCATCGCTGTGCTGGCTTTTTTACAGAATGGGAGCTATTGGCAGCACGGGCAGAGGGATGGCTTCGGGCACAAACTCTGCCTGAAGGGCTACAGTTGCCTGTTCTTAAAGGAGCTGCTCGTCATCTCTTCTTGTTGCTTCGTCACTGGGATGAAAACCTCAACCTCAACATGCTTTGCTATAAGCCAGGCGATGTCTGAGAAAGATGTTTGTAATGGGAAATAAAGGCATTACCCTAAGTTTGTTCAAAGTGCCTCTGTGAGTGGTAATGGCGGGGGGGGATCCTTCTTAGAAACCAGTATCTTTACACAAAACTAAGGTCTGTAAATAACAGTTGTCCACTTTTATTAGATTTAAAAAAATATGAATTATTATAGTTGTCATACCTCCAGACTCAGAAAAAACACTGGAGTTCAGTTCATAGCACCACACAGTGCTGTCCTGAGTATTGCCAGTAGAAGAGAGAAGTAATTTTGCCCCATGCTGGATTAAACAGGTTAATCTTTCTTCTTGCGTGTGACCCGTGCACTGTTTGCAGAGCTGGATGTAGATGTATCTTCGTCAGGTGGAGTACCATACCACAAGTTCAGCAGAATAGCTCCATGACATAAGTGAAGAGCACTGGAACTGAAGACCGTTGAGGGAAAAGTGTTCCAGGACAGCTCAATTAAGCCAAGGATTAAGATCCTGCAGAGAAAACAAGAGTCGGTATTATTTGTGTATCCTGGTATTTTCTCCCTGCTTTCTTGACTGCACTCCCACCCCAAGAACTTGAAAAGCATACTTTGCTAGTCCAGGCAGGAAGGCAGTATTTGTGCCCCACAGGAGGTATGGCAGTGAGTGGAAGTACCAGACGTAGAACTGATAGTGAAGAGAACGGCTAAACATAACACCCAGGAAATTACTAGAGAACAGGACAAAGATGATCTCTGTGAGAGTTAAGGTATCTAGTGTTACAGCAAGGAAGAAAAGACTACACACAGAAAATATGTCTACAATAATACAGCAAATAATATTTGAATTATGGGCAATTGCCACTGTTTTTGAAGCTATAAATGCTTTATTCAAACTTTGTAGTGGATGATTGGTCACCACAAAAAAAAAAAGTATATACATATGAATAGCATCATTATTACACTACGCAAAAAGCAATGGTCATTTTGATCACAAACTTTCATAGAGTTATTCACTGAAGTCTGAATGGCCACGTACTGAATGTGGCAAAACTATCCAGTGCTGTACAGGGATTTTTGGAATGCAAAATCCAGACACTGCTCATACTATTTAACAATGTCTAGATTTTGCATAGCAGGCTGAGAAAAAACCCCTGAATGTGGTCCATATCTCAAATAAACCCTCATATTACTACAGGGGAGAGATGTAAAACCCACCTTATACCCCCCACCTACCTTGGTGTGAGGGGACATAACTACTAAACTGCGAGCAGTGTACAGCTGCTCACTGTAACTATAAACTAACAACTGGTGAGACATTAAAAAAATTAACAGGAGGGGGACCTGTCTTTATTATATAAAACAATGGGGAGACATCTCTCTCCTGCTTTCCTATACTTAACAATGCTATCATTAAAGAAACACATGTATTCCTGACCCTATATTGTTAAAACCACCATCTGGTGCCACTAAATATAGTTGAATCTTACTTTTGTTAAAGTCTACAGCTGCTGGCTCTGCCCCTGATCAGCCTGCTTGGCTGACATCATCAGAAATGTTGTTTCCATAGGATTGGCTGACTATCAAGGAGGCAGATCAGGGGCAGAGCAAGCACAAGCCAAACACGGCCCATGCCAATATGCATCTCCTCAGAGATGTATTGAATCAATGCATCTCTATGAGGAAAGTTCAGTGTCTCCATGCAGAGGATGGAGACACTGAGTACTGCCCCAGGAAGCACCCCTAGTAGCCATCTGAGGAGTGACCAGCGGAGTTAACACTAGGCTGTAAACACTGCATATTTTTTTAAAAGACAGTGTTTACTGCAAAAAGCCTGAAGGTAATGATTCTACACACAAGAACAAATACATTAAGTTGTAGTTGTTCTGGTGACTATGGTGTCCCTTTAATATAAAAACAAAAGCCTTGCTGCAACAATAAGATGAAAAACCAACAAAAAAACATGCTGCAACAAAAATAAATCCAAGTAGGCCCCTGCAGTATGAGCTTCAAAGTGTAAAAAAATATTTATAAAGGTTTTCCCATTGTTTGAAATCCTAACAGCTCTGATTAGTGGTCAGAATTTGACCATTCTCACAAACTGCTGTCACAATGGACAGCATTAACAATTCAAACAATGAGGGACCAGGTTTGGCTGATAATATTTTATCACTTTCTAGGTATGCAAGAACTGGGATAAGCACCATGTAGACAATGGATGCCCAAATAGTAGATCCCCAGATGTTTTAGAATGACAAAGCATCATGGAAGCTGTAGTTTTTTTAAAACAGCTGGGGATCTACCTTTTGGGCACCCCTGGTGTAGACTTTTAGAGACAGAATATTTAGTTGTTTTTTTTTTTGTATATTATACAGCATTAATTTTCTGCATAAACCTTCTAATGTCACCTTTATGCCAATAAAGTACTGTACTCAGGACCATATTCTAATTCAGTTGTTGTCAGATTTTTAGCACACTGCATTAATCATGCTTTTGTAACCGTTTTATAAAGCTTTGTGTGCAAATGTACTATTTATGTTAATCACACTATGCTAACCAAAAAAAAAAAGGCTGCAAATATGTTGTCACATTCAAACTTTAAGCAAAAAACACCAAAACATTAGCTCCACTATCTTAAGGATACGGTTTGCTGAAAGTCTTTGTGATGCAGACTTCTTCTGTTTTGGATTCTTCAAAAGTGACAGGATACTATGTCCAGATCTGTGGGGAAAAGACAGAATGTAAACAAACTACAGTAACTCATCACATTCAGAAAGGACAATACTCTTCTGGGTGCTCACCTATGCCAGCGATACAGGCAGAAAAGCACCAATGCAATCAGGTGAGCTGTGAGCAATGCCAAGTGAAAAGCACGGTGGTGGAACACATATTCTGGAAGGAATCTCCAGTTCACTGTCCACTCAAAGAGAAACTGTCTCCCAAAGTCAAAGGACCGATGCAAATACCCAATGGGATTCTCCAGCAGGAAAGGGAGAGCGAGGACCACCTGTTTCAACAGACATGCAGAGAACAGGAAACCTCAATATAGGCACAGTGTAGGTGGAATTCCACTATTCACATAGGGAAAATAAATACCCATTTTATATTTACGCAAGATAGGTTACCTGTAGTAGACCACAAATGCAGAGCTTTGGAATAGTCAGCAGTAGCCCAAATCGGCATAAAAGCAGGTAGAGCAGTCCAGGGGCTAGCAGCAGTATGTTCATCTTTACAGAAACAGCTAGGCTATGAAAGAGAGAAACACCACATAAAGATAAATACATGGAATTTTAGAGAAAATCACTTTAGAATACAAGAAATTTAAAAAAATTACTTGCACACATTTGGTAGAATCTTCCTGACAGTCAAATTCAGCCCTGCAATAAAATGCTGCTCATAGCAACATTTGATTAGAGGAGCATAGTATTGACCGTGCCTGTGTACCTTGTCCAGTACTACTTCACTATCAAAAGTATTGGAGTGGATGAGAAAAGCTGATGGAGTAGACGGCTGCAGTAGAGGATTGTCAACACTGAAAACTAGGCAAGTTATATTTAGTTAAATTAGAAGTAGGTAGGCACACTCAATCAAAATTAAATAAGAGCATAATGGCACAAGCTATTTAAAGTCCAGGTGCTCACTTAAATAAGGTCCTATTCCCAGAGGACCACATAAGAATACAAAGAATATCCAATCAAGGAGCACACCAATAATGTGAATTTTTTTTATTGTTGGATAGATACAAAAAAGATCAATATCTCACAATCAGAACAAATCAAAGCAAGACTCACATACTGATGATGTATAGAGAATAATCAGAAGTTATATGATAATATCCAAACAGGATATATAGCAAATGAATACTTAACTACCAATGCAATTATTAATTCATAGAGATCTCAAATCTAAACATTCCATCACAGACAGATTATTATATAGAAAAACCAATGCATACCAGAATAAGTGAGAAGAGGGAAGAAAAGTCAATCAGCAAGCACCCAACGTTTCGGCAAAAGAGATGCTTTTACCAAGGAAATTATATTTAGTTACAGTACTTTTAATTTTTACTAGCAAAGGGGGTGAACATTGATAACAGTAATAGAAGGTCCCACCCGAAAAAACGTTTGTTTTCGAGACTATAGGTTCACTTTAAAAATTAGATGGATGTGTACAAATTCAGTTAACAATTGAATCTTTCTTTGCATTGTCCTTTTGGATTGATTGGGAATCTGTAGAATGTGTGTGCTTAGTACATATCTTCCTAGTGTTAGTACGACATTGCAAAAACATGACTATAAGTGCATCGCCTGTGATTCTTCACATTAAATCTAAACAGCAAGAAAAATGCTGGAAAGCAGTTTGAAGCTGTCACTTCTTTTGGAAATTACACCACTGAATAAAACACTAAAAATAACTTGTAATTTGACTTTATAACTATTTTTTTTTTTTTTTTACAAGCTGTTTTCCTGGCACTATAGCTCCCCTTCTGTCACGTACCTGGGTCCTGCGCTGATGTTCACCTTCTCTCCTCAATGAGCTGAAGTGGTTTGGGTGCCTATAGTGTCCCTTTAACAATCACAGATATGTGAATCTATTTTGAGTTCTTTTTCTTTAGTTGCACTTGAAGTGTGAACATTATGATAAGCAAAACAGTGAAAAACGCATTTTCCAATTTGTAACTGCCTATTTTATATTGTGTTAGGTTTACATATAGGATATAGGATATAGGGCACCTGTTCTAAAGAAGGATATTATGGCACTAGAAAAAGTGCAGAGGCGGGCTACAAAATTAATAAAAGGAATGGAACATATCGGCTATGAAGAAAGGTTAACAAATTTAAACCTATTTAGTTTAGAAAAACGTCGCCTGAGAGGGGATATGATAACATTATACAAATATATTCGGGGCCAATACAAACCATTGTGTGGAAATCTATTCACAAACCGGACTTTACATAGGACACGAGGCCATGAGTTTAGACTGGAAGAAAGAAGATTTCGTCTAAGGCAAAGGAAAGGTTTTTTACTGTAAGAACAATCAGAATGTGGAATTCTCTGCCTGAGGAAGTGGTTTTATCAGAGTCCATACAGATGTTCAAACGGCTACTAGATGCATACTTGCAAGAACAGAATATTCAAGGATATAATCTTTCAATGTAGGGTAATAACTGCTTGATCCAAGGATAAATCTGACTGCCATTCTGGGGTCAAGAAGGAATTTTTTTCCTAGCTTGTTGCAAAATTGTGCTTCAAACTGGGTTTTTTTGCCTTCTTTTGGATCAACAGCAAAAAACAAATGTGAGGTAGGCTGAACTTGATGGACGCAAGTCTCTTTTCAGCTATGTAACTATATGATATTAAAGGAAAGCAATATTTGCCCCTAAAAAGCAATGTATAATATGTGTGGGTGCACTTAAACAGAAATCCTTGGAATACCGAGGAAAAACACATAGCACAAATTCTTGGTTTTGCTCTGGTTCAGATGTTGTACAATTGCCTCTGTCCTTAAAGGGTTAAGTCTAAGCGATATAAATTCTAGGAAGTGACAGTTTCTCACTAATGGCCCATTCCAAGCACCATAGCCACTACAGTCTGGTGTCCCCTAGCACACTAGCAGTGTAATCTTTCAAACTGTTGTAGAACTACATGGAACCAACCAGAACCCACTTTCATATAAGCCGATTTTGGAAAAGCTCCAATGAGCTAAGCAGAGTAATGCAAGACCGCGTTCCTCCTGTATGAGCTGTGCTCCAACTTTTGCTGCATGATAAGACTAGATATGGCATGGGTGCCTTGGGGAGTAAGGCAAGTTGGCAAACCATTCTAAAAGGGTTTGATAAATTACACTGGGAGTGCACCAGTGGACTTCTTGCACCAAAACCTCTACAGTAGGCTGTAGTGGTTATAGTGTATTTTTTAAGTATTCAGGGGTAAATAAATAAAAATACTGTAAATATGTCTTGTGAAATAGTATAGTCGTCAAATGTATACAGAGATGTATTATGTCACCTGTAGAAGAAGCATCCCCAGTTCCACCAGTCCTGGAGGAATAAGTTGATAGAGATGAAAAGTATTACCATGGCAACAGGATCATTGAATAGCCGCAGCAGAAAGATGGAGTGCACTCGGTATGAGGCACAGCACATAAAGAAAAATACATATGGTGGTACCTAGACACAAAGCATGAAAATAAGTTTGAGTGAAAAATATTCAGAGGGAAATGCACTTCTAAAAGTACTTGTTTTCCAAATGTATGTTATTATGTTAGATATACATCCATCTGAACGAAGTGTATAAAAAAAACCCCCAAAAAATAAACACTAGTGCTAACGTAATGAAAACAAGGTTGAAGCCCCACTAGGTAGTCCTATGCTAATTGCTCCTTTGCAGTGTGCGTGATGTATGTTCAGAAAACATCTTGGTATTAAACTCTGAAAGTATCTTAAAACTCCACATGGTGCAAGAGAGTATAGCATAGAAATATATGCAAACACACATCAACCACTCGCTTTAACAAAGCTATATCTTATCCTGAAAGGCTTCCGAAGTTAAGTGTGGAATCATGCATTTCATTTGTTTGGGGCTGGGGGGAGAGAAGGAGGGAACTATGATATTGTGGCACAAAATAAGTGGAGAAGAAAAAGGAGAGGATGAACAAGATATGGTGAATAAAGCTTGGGAATTATGTAAAAATGTATGAAAAAAATAGTTGGTAGAGAGTGGGTAGATCCCCTTCATATTGTACCATCACCTATATCTATTAATTGTGAAGTCAACTGCTATTCTAGATATAAACCTGTAGAATATAATATCACATTCACTCCAAAGCTGTGCATCAAGCCTGGGTCAAATATTGTGCTGTTCTCTCCAGTGCTCTTATAAAGTTCTGATAAGAAAGTGGACCTGGGGTCTCACACAGACAGAATAGTATAAGTATTTTGAATCTTACTGCTCCTCACCTTCTTGGTTAATACATAAATACGAAAAATAAGTATCAGTGTTATAATATACAGCACAGCGAATATGTATTGAGCCAGGCGGATGTTGCTCCCATGGTCTGTTAAGAAGTAAAAAGCACTAAAAATGTAAACAAATCCTGCAGGATACCTGAAAAACAAAAGAGTGTGATGGTGAGCCTGGAGACATAATACCCAACTATAACCATAACAGATCCACCCCTTGCACGAACATCGACAATCATGTGCCAATCATTTCCAAAGTCCGTTTAATATAATGAAACTGTTTATCTGCCACTTAAATGATTTTTTCATCTCTATATACCCAAGTTTGTCAAATTTCTTCACTCAAGGTATGCGCTGTGTTATTTGCAGAATCTCTCATATTGCACTAGCATGGCAGAGTATAAATAATGTTACCTAATCTTAAAAAGACAAAACCTTATTACAATCTTGCAGAAATATTGATATCACTTATTCACTTACTCTGAATTGCAGTGAGCGGAAATTGAAATTGCAAAATTCAGAACAATAAACAAGTTGTGACTATTGCTAAGTGGCATATATTTTGAAATCAGCTGTAAGTGCCTACATTTTGCAATTTGCTTTTTTTTTTTTTTTTTTTTTAAACTTTTAAAATGATTTAATTTTTTAAAACATATTTTAATACTTTTATATATTTTTTTTTTTCCAATTGACAATTTTTTATTTTGTCTTTGAGCAAAAAGAAACATGGGGATACAAAACGAGGAAAGAGGGGGGGGGGAATTATACATTGCATAATGGCTACACAGACAATAGCTATGTGTAGTTATATACATATCAGTGTACAACATAGTTAGACATCCACATACAAACATGCTTCCCTGAGTTGTGTGTTTTCTGGAGCTTCATTGCTTATTTACCGTAAACCCCTTTTTTTTTTTTTTTTTTTTATATATATTTGGTGTGGTAGTATTTGTTGGCGCTCTGCGTGGCGCCTCTCGATTTTGTTTCAGGAGTCGGTAGGCTCACTAGGGTGGACGTGGTTAGGGGGGGTGGTGTCTTAGTTCGTGATTTGTTGAACCCACAGGTCGTGTGCTTCCTGTACCTCTTTTCGTGTTCCAAATTGTGCGTGTGCCATTTTTTCGTATTCCCAATTTTGGTTTACCTGTTTTATAAGGTCCTCTATGGGTGGAGTGAGAGCTTTTTTCCAATGTCGGGATATCACTAGGTTGGCTGATATTAATGTGTGATATAATATCAGTTTGATATGTTTCGGTAATTTTTCTGGCAAGATGAACAAGAGACACATCTGAGGTGTGTCTACTCTTGGGGCTGGCGATATCTTCTGTAGTATGTTCGCTACCTCTACCCAAAATGGTCTGAGCATGGTGCATGTCCACCAAGTGTGTATCATCGTGCCCACGTCCTTCCCACACCTCCAGCACATATTGCTGGTCGAGGGCCATATTCTGTGCAATTTATCCGGTACCAAGTACCAGCGGTATAAAATTTTTCGCTGCAATTCTAGATGTGTGGCACATGCTGTAAGCCCCCTATGAGCCGTGTATGCCCTCTCCCAGTCCCTGTCTGTTATTGTAACGTTGATATCTCGTTGCCAGGATGATTTGACCTCACCTAATGTGTGTGATTGTTGCGTTATTAAGCTCTGGTATCCCCAGGACATTATTTTCTTGAGTGGTGTTGTTCCCGTGCTTTGTTTTTCGAATTCCGTCATATGTGTCGGTGCTGTGGGCTCTGTTCGTCTCCCTAGCTTATCTAGTACGTAAGATTTGAGCTGAAGGTAGGAGAATAATGCTTTGTAGGGGAGGTTATATTTTTCCTGTATGTCGGGGAACGGTATCAGTCGCCCCCTGTCTATCACTTGGTACATGTGACGTATCCCGCCTTTCACCCATATTTCCCAAGGGAATGTAGGAATCTCCAGTCCTATGGAGCGCAATGGCATAGCTAACGGTATTTTCGGTTGCGTCACTAAGTCTGGTTTCATTGTGTGCCACATTCGCAGTAAGGTTTGGGTAGGTGGTAGGAGATCGTTTATTTCCTGGTTGTTTTTCGTCTGTTTCCACATGAGTGACCTAAGATCACCTTGTGGTGCTTTGCTGGCTTCGATCGTCACCCACTGCGGGGCGCCGGTAGGCCTGTTAATCTGTGCAATGTTGTGTAGGTATGCTGCTCTGTAGTACGTCGCCAGGTTAGGAAGGCCTAATCCCCCTTTTTTGACAGATCGATATAACGTCCCTGCTGCTACTCTTGCCTTTTTCCCTTCCCAAATGAATGAGTTAATGATATGTTGCACGTTTTTTAGGAACTGTTTTGGTATTGGTATTTGGAGCGTCCGGAAAAGATACTGTATCTTAGGGGTAAGTGTCATTTTGACTGCTGCTATGCGTCCTATCCATGACAGGTATTTACCCTTCCATGAGTGAAGGGTGTCTGTAAATTCCTTCAGTAAACGGGTGTAGTTGTGTCGGAACAGGTGGGCTGGGTTTTTGGTTATTTTGATACCCAGGAATGTCAGGTGATCGTGTCTCCAGTCTAGAGGGAATGCTCGTTCCAGTCTGATTGCTAACTCGCCTCCTAGTTGTATTCCTAGGGCCTGGGTTTTCGTGACGTTAAGCTTATAGTATGATACTGCCCCATATTCTTGGATTCTGGTCATCAGGTTTGGTAGGGATATTAATGGGCGTGTTAGTGTTACTAGGACATCGTCCGCGAACAAATTGAGCTTAAATTCGTTAGTCCCCATGAGTACTCCTCGTATGTTCGTGTCAGCTCTAATAACTGCCGCCAAGGGTTCCAGCGCTAAAATATAGAGTAATGGTGATAGGGGGCACCCCTGTCGCGATCCATTAGTAATGCGTATTTGTTTGGATACAAACCCAGAATTTAAGACCCTGGCTGTGGGGTGGGAGTAGAGCGCTCTGACGGCGTTTATAAAGGTTGGGGGGAATTTATATTTACCAAGTACCGCCTGCAGAAAAGGCCAGTTGAGCCTGTCAAAAGCCTTTTCCGCATCTAGTGACAGAAGTATCCCCCCCTCACCTTTGTCAGTCAGGCTGTATAGTAGGTCAATTACCTTCCTGGTGTTGTCTGAGCCCTGTCTGCCTTTTGTGAATCCCACCTGATCATCATGAATTAATGTTGGGATTATGTCCGCTATTCTGTTGGCTTGTATTTTTGCATATAGTTTAATGTCCGTGTTGAGTAACGAGATCGGTCTGAAGTTTTGACTACATGTCGGTGGCTTTCCTGGTTTAGGCAGTGTTACTATGTGTGCGCCCAGCATCTCTGCCGGAGCGTCCGCTTTGCGAGTGAGTGCATTGAATAAGTTTGCTAAGTGCGGGGCTAGAGTATGTGCGAATTTTTTGTAGTAGTTGTTGGAGAACCCGTCTGGGCCTGGGGCTTTCCCGCTTGGGAGATGGGATATGGCCTGAAGTACTTCTGTTACTGTGATATCTTCCTGTACTGTAGCTATTTGCTCCACTGTCAGTGATGGTAGAGATATCCCCGCTAGGTATGTCTCTATACCGCCCGTAGTTGGCTGGCTCGTGTCAACCGCATTCTCCAGGTTGTATAGAGATGTGTAGTAATCCGCAAATACGTCCCCAATGTCTTTGGGTGTCACCTTTTTTTCCCCTGTTTGGTTGTGAATGAATGGGATCTTGGCATTCACATTTCTGTGTGACAGTCTCCTGGCTAGTAGTCTGCTTGCTCTATTGCCCTGTACGTACTGTGTCGTCTTAAGTTTTCTAAGGTGGTACCCTGTTTTTGCTAGATCGTGCTCTTTAATTTCCCCTAGTTTGTCCTGAATTTGCCGTTTGAGCTCAGGAGTTGGGGTCAACTGGTTTTGTTTGTTGAGGGTATATAGTGACTTTAGCCAGTGCCTCATTTTGGTTTGGGACTCCCGTTTCAGTGCGCTCGCCCTACCTATGAGGGATCCCCTGATGACCGGTTTGTGTGCCTGCCATAGCGTCTCTGGCGTGATTTCCGACGTGTGGTTAGTAGTAAAGTACCTGTGTAATTCGTCAGTGAGGGTCTCACAAAATTGGGTGTCGTTTAGGAGAGTCTCATTCAGTCTCCACGGGCTTCTGTGTTTATAGTCATATGCATCTCGCAATTCGAGGGTAACTGGGGCGTGGTCGGACCACGTAATGTTCCCTATCGAGCATGCTATTAATTGATTAAGGAACGTTCCCTTTACGTAAAACCCGTCTATCCGAGAGTAGGTATTGTGGACTTGGGAGAAAAATGTATAATCCCTCTCGTCCGGGTGCAATACCCTCCACGCGTCATATAGGTCATGTTCGCTAAACAAGCGAACCAGGGGCTTACATTCTCGTGTGAGGGTTGCGTGTCTGGGTGTGTTTGGTCCTACCGTTGAGTCTCTTTTGGGGTCAAGTATGTGGTTCAGATCCCCGCATATGAACGTGATGCCCCTCTGGACCCGCGCAAGTCGCGTTATAATTTTGTGCAAAAAGTTTCTCTGGTTTGCGTTTGGTGCGTAAATGTTCACTATAGTGTACTCTAAATTGTTAATTTCACACGCCAGTATTATAAACCTCCCCTGTGCGTCCGTGTCTTCGTACAAGGGCTTAAAGGAGACCTCTTTGCTAATCATTATAGCAACCCCTTTAGTTTTTGATGTGGCAGTGCTGTGGAATTGTACCGGATATTGTGCTTTTGCTAGTATGGACGCCTGTTTAAAGTGCGTTTCTTGTAAACACACTATATCTGGGCGTGACCTGCGCAGGTCTCTGGTAAGACAATACCTCTTTACTGGGGTATTCAACCCCTTAACATTGTGGTTGTATATTTTCATGATTTAATGTATGTGTTATACAAGTATTGGTTCTGTTTGTCTGTGTACTAATCCCCCTGATGAGGTACCTGCCTTCCCAGGGGTTCCTGTGTATTTTGTCTCCATAGTTCACTCTGTGGGGCTCTGCAATGCTTGGGGTCAGGGTCAAGGTGGTAGAGGGTAGGTATGAGGAATTGGCAGTATAAACAACATATATAACAGTCACATAGAATAAAACATAAGTGTATACATTTACAAACGGTTCAGTATACATTTCCCACTGAAGGGTATTGCACTATCACGATAGTGCAAGGTGGGAGCGTGGTTACTCTGTCGACTTCTAAGGTGTGGTGTAATTGGTTGCACTTAGGGTGCCCGAATCTTTCCCTCGGTATTCACCTTCGTGTTGCAATCATTGTATGTGTGAATCTACCGGCTGTTGCTGTGGCGTATAGGTTGCGTTACTTTATTTTATTTTTATTTATTTTTTTTTATTTTTTTTTTCGTGTGTGTGTGTGTGTGGGTTATGGGCTTTGTGTTATGTTCATGGTTCAAATGCACGTCAAGCCTTCCTGGCCTTTTTTTTTTTTTTTTTGCGTGTGTGTATGTATCTATATATACATTAATATCCTGTGTGCTTATGAGTGAATGTGTCATGTGTGTTTTGTAAATGTTTATGGTTAGGCGTGTAGTGCTGGGAATACTTGCACTTCTCCGACCGCCAGACTTCAGGCTTTGCCTCAGCGTCCTCAACGGAAGAAAAAAAGTCTCTGTGTTAGTTCATTTTTTAGTCTTTTTCCAGTCAGTTGGCATTCTCCGTGCTGCAGTCGCCTCTTTCTTCTCCGGGTTTGGCAGGACGTTCCAGCTGCGCAGCAGTTTGCGGCCTTCTTCTGGGGTGTTCACTGTGGTCACCAGTCCATTCCTTCTGATTAGGAGGCGGATAGGGAATCCCCATCTATACTGTATATTGTTGTAGCGGAGGGTTTCAGTCGTTTCCCTAAATTCTTTTCTTTTTTGCAGCGTAGCCGCAGAGAGGTCTGTGAACATTTTGATATGTTTGTATTTTTGTGGTGGGTCGCCGCCCGTTCTCGTTGCTTGAAGTAGTGCTTCTTTAGCATGGAAGTAGTGTAGGTGAGTTAGCACATCTCTGGGGGTGTCTTGTGGTAAAAACGCCGGTTTTTGCACTCTGTGATATCTATCCAGCAGTAAAATATCAGCCGGCAGATCTGGTGCTATCGCTTTAAAGTACCCCATTAGGTATTCATGTAGATCTTGCTGCTTTACCTCCTCAGAGATGCCTCTGATTCTAAGGTTCTGCCGTCTCGAACGGTCCTCTAGGTCCATGACCTTCCTCTGCGTGGTGTCAAGTTGTTGTTGCAGCTCTTGTACTTGTTCTGCCATAGCATTATGCACAGTGGCTTGTTCTTCCACACGGTTCTCCACTTGTGCAGTCCTGTCCCCCAGCTCCTGCATCTCCCTTTTCACTTCTCCTAGTGTACCTTGCAGGGTTTCAAGAATCCTGCTGGACATGGTGTCTAGACACTTCTGTAGGAAGTCTTGGGTAACTGTTTTGTGTGCCTGGGGATGTTGGTAGTGGCAGTGTGTCATTACCTCCGTCGCCATCTTGTCCCTGGTCAGCTAGGCCCATCAATTTTGGCGTCGACGCTCGGGTCGCAAAAAAGCCGGCCCGATCGGTTTTCTCGGCTTGCTTCTTGGCCTTCTGTGCTGCCATGCCTGGGGGGGTTGTGTGTGGGTCGGATAATTGCCGGTACTGCTTAGAAATTAGCTTTTTCGGGCCGTCGGTGCGCGGAGCTCAGCACTGTGCGACCATCCGCATCGCCCGTCAGGCCACGCCCCCCGCAATTTGCTTTTTAACTGGCTATAATTCATAGTTCAGTGAATAAATCTGATACAGGGTTACTCACTAAAGTGAGAAATCAAAGTAAATTTCAGGTATATAGCCGACCAGGAAACATTCCATAAGTAAGCAATAATTCCAGTTCTACTTCTTTGGCAACTGCTTCTAAATTAAATTGTTATGGTGCCAGGAGGCCACTAGGTGCTTTCTTAACTTAAGGGGTTAAATCGCTCTCGAATTGTTTAACTCCAAATGCTGCCTCCAGCGGCATATGGCTTCTAAATAATTCAGGAAGCGTGGTGTTTCGCAAGGCAAGGGCATCAGTGCTGTACTTTTTCACATACGTGAGACTTCAGTACTTAGGTCTATAGAGAATCCCACAAGAGCATCCGTAGATATTGTATTGCGATGAGCAAGACAATGCTTTAATCCCTCAGAGATTGGTTGTGATGGTGGATAAGGTAACCCTAGGCATAGTAACATACAATTTCAAATTAAAGGGACACTATAGGCACCAGACAACTTAATTTCATTGAAGTGGTCTTGGTGCAGTGTCCATGTCACATTGTGTCCTGCAATGTAAATAATTGCAGATTTTGATAAACTGCAACGATTACTTTGCAGGACGAAGACTGCCTCCAGTAACTGTCTATCAGACAGCCGCTTCCCGGGATTCTAAAGGACTCTATATGAGGACATCCAGCGTCTGTAACAACCCCATAGGAAAGCATTGAGGCAATGCTTTTTTTTTTTTTTTTGGGTGAGGGACTAATGCGCTTATTGCGCATGCGCATTAGGTCCCCCCTGTCGCATGAGGTTGGAGGAGTCTGAGCGCCAAGGAACATCGGCCCTGGAATCAAGTAAGTAAATACAGTAAAGGGTTTTAAAATGGTTTATGTAACGGTGGGAGGGGGCACCAGAGAGCACTATAGTGTTAGGAATACAGCTTTGTATTCCTATCACTATAGAATCCCTTTAAATGTCTCAAATTTCACAACCTACAAGAACAAGATTTTGTCAAGGGATCTTTACTGCACACAGTTATTACTGTTCTGCCATCATAAAGAACACAACTCATACACTTCCAGTCCTAATGTTATACTCACACCAGGGGCCCAGTGTCCCCCTGAAGCTTTGTATAGTCATAGGTCCCATTGATCACACCTTCTACTTCATCCATGTAAGCTTTCCAGTCAATTTCTGTATCTATTAGGGACGAACATGAAGAATAGGGTTAAATGTGAGCCCCAAGGAACCCATTCTAGTACTCTGTGTTGTACATGTGCACAAACTGTGTCCCTCCACTATTTGGAGTTCAAATCTCATAATTCGCAGCCAGTCAATATATTGTTCAAACTTATTGTGAGTGAAACGGATAGCTGCACAACTAAATAAACCCCCCACTTATATGTGGTTTTTTTTTTTGTATGCTAAACATATTGTCCCTGCAGCCTTTCAGTGTAGCCCATACTCACAGGGCACTTTCTGTATGACCCAGTGGCTGACCCCCAGCTCTGCCAGGCACAGGCATGCCCCCAGCAGGGCGGTATACCGGGGGTCTGTCAGCAGCTGCTGCTTGTTCTGCCAGCCATGCCGCAGGGCCTCGCT